TCTATAGGTAATAATTTTATTTCGAACCAAAGAACACTTCACAGAACTGAATAAAATGAATGTATAATTGAAGGGAAGCAAAAGGCTATTGCCATAGGAAATACGCACAGAAGTTATGCTCCTACACACACCCGTAAAAATGTTACACGTAATTCATATTTTTGAAACATTTCTTCTAGTATTTGAAAAATGTACACATTTCTCCTGCTCGTGACCAACTGTTGTAAACTATCTCTAGTTTTGTATGATTGTTGACTGTGCACAACAGTTTTAACATTCATTCCCAATTCATGTACTAAATATTTCCCAAACACTAGGAGGTGTAAGCATGAGTCTTTATTTTATCTAATGTAAAAATCAGCCTTATCGAACACAAACCCTTGCTAATTAACTGTTATCGGATTGTCTGCAATCCTGTACAATATATATTACCGCCAACAACTAGGCTTATTGTGACATGTTTATTCAATTACGTTTGTAACACCAGATAAAAACCGCACTTTCCCCTATTTGTCACACTTTATATATGTAGATCACCACCGTAGATGATTCATATCGAATTATTGGAGGCATATTCGAGTTATATGGGGATGGTGTGACGAACCAGCCAACTTCGAAGTCACACCTCGCGGTCAGCATCTAACGTGAATTGTAGAATTATGGTCCACTATGATGTCAGTACTGCTATAATAATAGACCTAATCCTAAAGTTGCAGATTTTTCATGATGTAACTGCCTGATCTATAAGATCTTACGTGGAAGTCACATCATTGTCTACACTGACTCATCGTATCGTAACAGTTACCAATATATGATGGAGAACACATTCAGGCTGGAGATAGAACAACATATTTAGTGTGAGTAACAGCAAGTTGTACAGAACGACTATGCCTGCGAGGCCGAGCCATGCCATCCGATCAACTGGAATAAATTCAACTCATTCTTTCCGCCTTCTCCATCGTTGGGTTTTTCTCCACGTTAGATCTTGAATATCTATTTTCCCAGTTGTCCCGTATTCATATTTGAGGATTGTGTGGTTAGGGCCCAATGTCGCTACAGGACTATTCCTTTGGCGTATCAAAGTACTATGGCTGCTTGGAAGACCGTATAACACAAAGGACGTTATTATGGAAACATGTTAGTAGGAATGAACACAAAGAAGATAGCGAGACCACCACCGTACGAGCCAGTTTATAACATACGACCAACTGATGAGCGTTGGTTGTCCTTCATCTTGACGAGGATCGATGATTTGTTTGATATTCAGTGACCCTAATGCCGGATGATTTGACTAGGTCTCAGTGACATTTCACTTGCCCTACATACATAACCACACTTCTATTCAATATCTATCGTTTCACTGAAGCAATTGTAAAGAAAGAGACATGATTGTTCGGTTATATGCACACACATTACACACATCACATTATTGTTAACATTCAGAAATGTTAGATCGGAGCTGACTCACGGGACCTATTTAGGAACACTATTGATGCGCAAGGTATTCGCCTACTGTAGAACAAACTAGTGGCCATTCTGGATTACCCAGAAACGACCGCAGTCAAACGGTTACGCACGTTTGAGCTCACGGTAAGTTTTATCGACGGTTCTCATCAACTTACCCGTCTATCATAAGACCCTTGACAGATCAACCACGCGGGGATGCGAAATTCACCGATTTGCACGACATTCCCCACAGTTAGGGAAATTAGAGTTAAAGCAACGACGCGTGTACACAAGGACATCAAAGAACTCATTAATGTCGCAGAGGACTATTCGGACTCAGCAATCAAAGGAGTCTTGTGAAAATGGGTAAACAACACCTGTCAACTTTCAGCATTATTCTCGAGACGGTCGACACTGAATCGAGGTATAGCATTTTCAGAAAGGGGTCACAAGCCATGTACTGTGCTGTTGCCGCTATCATCTTTATATAGGTCAGGAATTCGCTCTATTTATGAGTTGTAGAATGCTTGCTTTTTCTCTAAGCCCGAATTCAGACAAGTATTCCCGTCGTGAGTCTCGACAAGTTGACTATATTTCACAGATCATTTCAGATATAAAACATATTTCGAGGGTAAACAATGTAGTAGCAGACGTCTTGTCTCGTATGACCTGTTAGAACAGTTTCCAGGGTATCGACCTTCTCAAGCTCTTTCTTATTCAAAAAGAAGACATTGATGTTCAGTCCGAGTTATCTTCGACAACCTTGGAACTGTGTATTTAAACATATGGGAAAAAGTAAAGAAACTTTGAAATGTGACACATCTAAAGGTATGGATCGTCCAGTCTTACCGGGACATTATCGGCGCAATGTCTTCAATACGCTGCACAACCTTTCGCATACAGGTGTTCGAGCAAGCATCATGCTCATCACATAACTATTTTCCTGACCTGGTATGAACAAAGGCGTAAAGAAGTGTGCACGCATCTGTGTGAGCTTCCAGAAATTCAAGGTGATTAGACACGACAAATATCCCTCAGGCTCATCTAAAACTCCAGACACTCGTTTTGACCATGTTCATCTGGATTTGGTAGGACTCTTACCAGATTCAAATGGATACTCTTACGCCTTAACTTGTGTAGACCACTTCACGCGATAGCCAGAAACAGCAGCATCAAGGACATTACTACTGATAGAGTGGCCTGCGCTTTCGACAAGCGGTGAGTAGCAAATTTCGACTGCTCTTCACCTATCACTACAGACCGTAGACTCTGGTTCGAATCTGGACTTTTCCTTTGTCTTGCTACACTACTAGGAATCACAAAATTCCGAACAACCACCTTCCATTCACAAGCGAACGGGTTGTTAGGACGCTTTCATCGACAGTTGAAACCTTCACTCTCAGCAGTAAATGCTTCACAGTGGTTTGACGCTATTCTGCTCGTTTTATTTGGCATTCACAATGCAGTGAAAGCTGACATTGGATTCACTGCAGGTCAACTGGATTAGGGAACGGCATTTCGACTTCTAGGAGTATTCGTAGGTCCTTCATCCTCAATGAATGAGGATCCGAAATCCTACTCAAGCATGGATGAAAACGCTGGGCGTTTGGTTAAACCTGTTTCCACTCGATAGCAGTCAACGGGTGTTCTCGTTCGACTCGACTTACAACATAGTACACACAACTTTGTATGTCGCGACTCATTACGACGACCACTCGGAAAGCGTATACGAAAGACCTTTCAAAGCTCCACATCACAAACCTAAACACTATATAGTCAATAGAATGGAACAAATGATAACGTCAGCATCTACCGTTTTAATGTTGTTTATTTAGAGGGAAACCGTAGTATTGTTGATATTCCTACGATATTCTCGAACGACACGAGCCTCATAACTACTATACATCACCCGATAATAAATAATCACGAAGAAACTACCCTGATATCTGACAACCGGCCCAAAAGACCGAGCTCTGGAAAATAGATAAGGTTTCCTGAACACTTGAACAATTGTTGTGCGTAGAACAATGTACAACATTTTGTTATATTTCAATTTTTTTATTACTTTGTGAAAAGACCCAAAACGAACATCATTTTTTCTAATATACTCACATATGTGTGTGTATTTGTTTCCTAAGAAAACGCGAAGACTATAATTATGCAAAAATGTTTTTACATTACAGTATGGTAATAGTGTGCAGGTATGTAGTGGCATTGGTCCCAACCACACAATCCACAAATTTGAACATGTGGTAAATGGGAAAATGGCCATTCAACAATTAACATGAAAAGATCATAAAAATTAGGTATTTACACGATGACAAATACACAATTTAGGTTCAGTATTATGGCGATAAAAATGACGAACTAGACCACAGTTCTATATATAAACCAGTCTACTTTTCTTATTCTTGTCCGTTTTGTGTCGTTACTCACGTGCAAGTGTTTTTCGATACGCACTTAAAATTTCTTTGGCTTAATTTTGTAGGATGAAGCGACAAAAAACGACGAATAGAAATTTTCATTGGATACTTGTCATTGTTGTGTTGCAGCACGTGGCCCCGTATATTAGGGACGGACGACCAGACACTGCTGAACATGGCAAGCTATTAGATAAGTGATTACCAACGACAGGCTCGTTGAGCTTAAAATTGTGACCGTCCACGTCTTGTGGTCATCACAGCCCTAGTTGATGGGGAGTGAGCTGTAGCGGCTAATAAATTCCCGAAAGAAATAGTTCTGTAAATGTTCGACATTGATGGTCACCGTACTAATTTTACTGGATGTGCCTAGCCAAAGGTACTCGGTCACTCATCTTCACCAGATCGCTAGTGAATACGTCTTGGCACTCTTTCCATTTAACTGCCAACCTACCTAGATCAAAAGCTTCTCGGTATGTCGTTAGCGTTCCATATATATTTTCGAACTCCATCATTTTTGACTTCTGATTAGGCTTAGTTGGCATACTACGATCACAAAGATGTTACGCGTAGAAACATTACCATACTCCGACTACGTGAGGTTTATTTCTCTGCTTTGATGACTGTACAACACAAACGACATTATTACAGAAGTACATTAGTAAGAGCACCGTTAATTCTTAACTGCGGTGGCGTCATTACATATACCTGAATGATCTGGCAGGCAGTAGATACGAAAAATGCCTAAAACATAAAATAGAAAATATACAGACGTCATTTTGAGCGAAAACAAGATGTTTCTAATTGAGCTCTTGTTGAGCTCTTGACAAAGGGATTTATACATAGTAGTTTAAACCACGTTTTGGAGTCATTAAAAGAAATCGAACAAACGAAATGCCGTCTCGAAAGCTATAAATAAGGATGATAATCGTTCACAAAAGAAGACCAAGGTAATCATCCTTGCAGGGTCTCATCAATACGGACCAAATTAGAGGTTTTATACATAATAATCCACTACATATCAATTATTTCAGCGTCTACACAGTCTTGAATATATGTGATCTAGGTCTCAGGAAAACAATATATTAACTTCCAGTTCAGTTTCCTTTTGTGACGATCATTTCTTATAACGATGCACAGAGATTTGTAAGGTTGGCCCCGCTGCATTCAAAGCTTGGACTTGTTGTTAAATTCTGTGTGAAGTCTACATATGTCGGACAGAGACACTGCATCATTGCTCAAATTCACGGAGAATGTGCTTCAAGATTATCGCAGTCTTATTTCAGAAACAAAGCGGAGATTTGTTCCTATTAAAGAAGTAGTCACATTCAAAATTTTGACATTTCTAGGCAACTGAATCACAAATTCCTAAATTAAGAGCTATCATAAACAGTGACACTGAACTCCGTGGAGGTTAGTTATTATTTTATTTGCTTAATCATTGAATAGCCTTACAGGGATCGTGCAGCTCTCTAATTTCTCCATTTTTAAATGGTTGCCTTTCGAAAAACCAGAAGATAATAGTATTGTGTCTAACGGCACTTCAGCGTTTCATCAATCATAGGTGTTTATCAGAGGTAAATTATTTGTTGTCTTTAACTTGTTCAGGATGCCTCTGAAGCTATCGTTAGTACACTTTGGCAGCTTGCGGAGTCGAATATAGAGGAATTACGCCTACTTCAGACGACCATATTGCTTCTCACAAGCTCATCCTTGATACGTGGACCTCAACTTGCGAAAGTAAATCATACACCCTGAACATTTTTTAAATATTTTCGGAACATGCTGATATGGACGCCATTAGCTAGGTTTTGATAACCCAATTACACGTGTTTGTGGTTGTGTAAATTGTAAATGGAGTCCAAGTTAGCATGTATACCTCTTTTTAACATTCCCGTATTTGTGTTCTCATGGTTTCCTGATTTACTTTACAACTAAATGAAAATATTTATGCAGTGAATATATTAACGGCTCGAGGACTGCTTTTATTACTCTTGCCATTAATAACCATAGCTAAGCAGGTGATATAATTGCTGTTCATGATAATTAGAATATGATTATTTTTTATCTCCATCTGATAAACACAGAGGAATGTCATTAAATGAATCGTCTATAGTATCATGCCAATATCAGGTTTTATCAGCTCTGAGCTTTCCCACGCACCATTACCATCTTATTTGTCTAAACAACAAAAATATATCCTAATTAAAAAGTGGCACAGGTTTGCGACATTAGTGGCTACATATTGATAGATCTGTTGATCATACAAACGAGATATGAGTGCAGAAATCACTGGCTTTAGATTATAAGTGATCAGCGGTCAGATAGGACCATTTAGTTTTTGTATTGTAAGGTATAATTTTCTTATGGTGTTACTATGTATTCTCATCTGGGTACTGTTCTCGCTATTCCATCCTTAAGGTATCCTGAAATAATTTGGGTCTACAGAAATCACTTTGATCGAGTAAGTTAGGATAGCACCAAGTAAGACGTTCTACTTGTACACACTTGCTACAAAATTAGTTTGTTAACTGGCACTAAATATTACTCTGTAATCTTGCCAATTTCAATTCACTAAGCTATAAGGAAGATCTGATGTGCTCAGTCAAATTTGAATAAGTAAGCTCAGTTTGAATTCCTGAACATGCTTTGAAAATAAGTCCCTAAACCATTAATGTGTTATTTCTATGCTTGGATTCTAAAACTCTCCTTATTTTTCTCTTAGGCCTTCACCATTTGTTTGAAGCTTCATCTTTCGAAGTCACCTTCCACTGTAAACACAGCAGCAGCAGCTGTTCGCCAATGTGCAAGTGCTATTTTTGACCGTGTGTTCAAGGAAGAGTTGATCATACAACCTACGGATTCCAGTAAACAAAAAGCTACACGTAAGTTCAATCTTCTCCAATTAGCCAGAAAATTGTGATTTTCGGGACTATAGTTATTAGTATTACAAAAACCGTAACTCAAAAAAATTATCATCGGATTTGCTACATTCCATCAGATACTTCCTCTAATTTGTTCTCGAAATTACATTAGCGTTTCCCAGCGAAAATGAATTGTTTCTTTAGTTCGTTTCTTATGTAGGTATCACTTTGACTTCCACTTCCTTGATAGTGTTTAATATCGGGCTCTAGTAATTTTTTATATTACGTTTTACACTTTCGAAATTTTAGCCGGAGTCGACGATATTCTTCCTGTTAACCCTCTGGACTTGAAGTCCTCTGAAAGGGATGCCTATATGCTTTTTCAGGTAAGCAGTTCCAATCTCGATCGTTTGTAGTTAACGCCTAACACTTCCAAAGATTTTGTTTGATGCATATATCACAGTTGTTAGTTTATTTAAGCTGTATGTCGTTTATTGTTTTACTGTACACGTTTGATATACTTCTGTAGATGGTATTGACTATAGTTTACTTCCTGTCCTTTACATGTACAAATTTTCTATAGATAATCTTGTTTAATTCATAATTCGGTGGACTTGTTTTTAGAAAACCTTTAGTACTTGTGGCAGTAACTAACTATAGGGAAAACCCGAATTTTTGAATCCCGGTGGCACCGAACCTATCTGTGAGTTTTACGGTCAGTTGTTATTAAACTCTATGTTAATAATAATAAAAGATGAGCTTTGTATTTCGGTCACAAATTTTACAATGTAGATTATTGGAATATGGCATTCTTTCCAAATCTGGTGATTACACCATATCTCTAAGTTGTTGAATTTTGACTGACACTGAAAATTTAGATAGACTGATTTAGTTGGGATCTAATGGTTGTTTCATATAAACAAACGTTCCTTGCTAATGTAAAAAAAGTGTTTTCAAGTAAATTGTTTTTTACCTTGTTATATATACTGGTAATTGATATGAGTTCAACGAGTGTTCACTTGTTTCTGTACATATTAAATCATCAGTAGTTTGTTACCGTTCTGTTAACTTTTCTGTAGGATATTTGCCTACTAATAAGTGACGATACATGTATTTGGTTGTGTGGCACAATACAGATAAATAAAGTCCTGGGTCTGGAGCTAGTTGAATCGCTTATCTTTTCCTATCCTAGTTTATTTTGTCAGGTGAGTTTTAATTTGGCTGTGTTAGTAACTATGCTTTTTGTTGGCTTCCACCACAATTGTGAGGTACATTTAAAAAGCCAACTCTAATCACATCTTTGTCTGATTTCGGCATGCGAATGAGACTAATAATATTTTCAACTCTTATGAACAATCCATACATGCATAGAAAAGTCATGTTCCCGCAGGTCATCCCGATATGTATAGTAATAGTATTTTTGAAAATAAAGTCAAGCATAAGTATTATTTTTATAGATATAAGATTCGTTCATATTATGAGTTTGAAGGAAAATATAGGGCATATCTGTTGTAAATTCTCTTCGTACAACCCAGTTACTCTTATTGATTAGCAATCTCGGACGCTACCTCACTCGACAAGTCCCCAGATCAGAACACGGTTGAACAAGAGCGTAGTTATATTCCAAATAAACACGGTTGGATAAAAGTAGGAATCGCAATCAGGAAGACGTTAGTATTCTAGAGTCTTCTCCAAGTATCCGCCACCGCTAATTGGTTAAGGAGTAGCCAGTCAGCGTGCCTCAACACATTCCTGCATGGGAAATGCTTTAATCCAATCCATATCCTGCTAACAATATTGATTTATGATGAAGTGATGAGATTGAGATTATTGATGACTAGTTCTCTTCACGAAAATTAAATTCTCAATTGAGACTAGGCTACTGTAAGAGTGTTTCTTCAGCAACTCATTATGAATTATTAACATACTATAGTCGGATGCGTAATGGCTTTTTTGAATATCCTTCCCAAGTGCATCAGGTTTCATATCACTATTACACAAATTTTGTCTGATTGACTGGCTTCAACTGTACCACATCTCAACTTCTTTGTTCTTAAAGTAGTTCAACTGATGTATCATGTGCTGTGCAGCGTTTTTGAGTATGAAAATGAGGACCAAGAGTAACAAAAGCTTGTTCTAATTTGGTTCATAGTGTAGGAATTTCATTAAGAGGCGAGTATTTTACTAGTAAATGTTAAAATAAGTGTAATATATACTGGTCGTAAACTATGAAGATGCGCTGGAGTTAGGAAGAAATAATTGCTTATTACGTTGTAGTTTTTAGCATTTGTTTGGTCGTTATCGGTTGTCTACTACATACTTCTATATGGTATTTAACCAATGAAGCCTGTTCTTTTTACATTCCAACACAGCATCCTGCTTTTGCATATTTACTGAAAACGAATTTATGCCCACTGGTTATAAAATTATTTTCTCCAAGTTTAAAATTGCACTTAACTCCATTGGCTACGTCTGGTGGTGGGGGGATAACAGATGTCGCCTCAGCTGCGTTCGCTGCTGCAACGGCTGCATTAACTAGTGTCAGTGGAGTGACATCATCGTTGTCATCTTTATCATCACCGTCTGGTGTTTCAAATGACGTGATGAATAGTGAAAAACCGAATTTCGCATTGTTTGTTCGTTTGAAACGTTTGGTCATTGTCATCGTCAATCATTACTTCCATCTTTTGGTAAGTTGGGTTAGATTCAACTCTGACGAAATGTATATGTATGATTCAATAACTTCAGTTATAAACATGGCTTTAAGCATGAGTAAGATTGCACTTCTAGTCAAAGCTTTCGGCTAAAATACATTTGAATATCGTGCTAACTATCATTCACACTTAATTCCTGTTTGATATTGAGTAAAGTCTTCTACTGCTGTTCCTGATGGTGAGTGGTTTTAGTGTTTCTGAGACATTCGTAAAGAATCAAATTACTGTTATTTTCCTTGCTTCACTCAGCCTTTTTAGTGACTATAAATAAATAATACATTTGTAATATCCCAGTGAGTAGAAAAATTAAATGTTCTGATGTTTCGTAACTTAGTGTAAGCCACTTCTTCGGAGAATAAGTAAATAATCAAATCAAAATTAATCCAAGTTTAAATAGTACAAGCGAAACAACAAGTATATTATGTTATAATATCTTGGATTACGTTTATATTTTGATCTGTCCGTCCTCTTGAGGATGATTTAATCCACATAATATGTTTATCATATTCACTACTTCGATTTTTATGTTTCACAGTTTTGTGTTGATTTTTTCCACCATTGATAACGTGTTCACAGATGCTGTAGAATGACATTTCCATAACATATGTCCAAAGGCATTATAAATAAATAATTGCATTTTTGCAATAGTCATTAGCCTAGTTTAGTCTCATTTAATTTCTTGAATAAATGTTGTGTTAAAGATTGAACTTTTATTTTGTTTGGTTCCCAGATAAATAGATTGCAAATTGTACATGTTTATTATCCAAAATATTTGAAGTTAGGAGTATTCATCTGTATAATCAAGTGGTATCACGTACTTTCTAATCTCTTTCCAAACTAATTATACTTCAACCATCATTGAGAAGTCGTTTTATGCAACGAAAAAAACATTTTATAGCCCTTTTAGAAAAAAATACCATAATGCTTTCTTTTTGCTGATACTTTAAGTAGTATTCCAATTATTTCTGTTTGGATAGTCAAATTTTTAACATTAAAGAAAACTACTTTTTGTTCTGTTCATATATATTTTTAAAAAAAAATATTCAGAATACAGAATGTGAAATCTATCTCTCGTTGCTTATACGATTTTTGGATGTGAATAAGTTATTGTGGCAACGTGCATTGGCATTAGAAGTTCTATTTAAAATTGTGGAACAACCTGAATTAGTTAAGTAAGATTCAAACTACTTAATTATACTTTGATATACCAATTTTTTAAAATGTATAATTTTAAACCGAATATTCATTTTATTTCATGGATCTTTAAAGTTAATATATTTGATGAGGTAAACATTAAATCGAAAATGAAAAATATGTTTTTGATTTATCAATCAGGAAATCGGTTTTTTTTTAGAAGATTAACATTTTAGAATATAACTAACATAATCAAAGTGATTATGAACGAGGGAGGATTTATGTAAGGAGTATACTGTTCATTGGTAAATCAAAAAGTTACTGAAATTACTTCTTGTAACTGGCCATAAATGAATAGGATTATGTATCTATTTATTTAAACACATGAACATTTGTACACAGAAGCACCACACAAATAACTGAATCGTGTGTAATTCAAAATACTCCCCGAGCGCCCAGATCAAAGCAGATAGTTTTAATAGGGGGCCACATTTTGACGCTTTGACTTGGAAGTCTAATCTTTAAGGCAATGGAGCAATGTTGGAAGATTGCACCACAAGCCGGCAGCCAATAATAGATTCACAGGCCATTTGTCCCCTCAGAATTCTTGATCCCATGTTCATCATCTGTTTGGAGACAGGGTTTTCCAACTCCCTCAAGTGGATGCTCCGTATTCACTAGGTCAGTTTAAGTGCCACAAGAAGGCATTGAGTAGGACTTCCCTGAAGTGACTTTATACACGTTACCACATGAGGGCATTTCGGTGTGGGTGGAGGACGAACTCTCCTCACTCTCGGCTGTATCAGGATTTGGCTACAAACATGTAAATGGGATTACTTCAAGTATTATCATTTCATAGTAAGTTATTTGTAGTAAGATGTTTATTTTTATTGCGTAAATTATCGTTGTTTTGTTATGCATCTTCCACTCTGTAATAATCTTTAATCAAAAGTTTCTTCACTTTCACACACAGTAAGTCTTTGAAATATTTACTGTAAATAATGCTTTTCATATCGTAAGAATGAACTCTATTCGTCTCATCAAGTGAATCATTTTTAACTCAAAAAATGATGGACTTTTACATTGTGATTTTATTCAGTAGTTGGGATCCTCGATTATCAACCTATACATGTGACTTGACAGTTCATTCAGTTTTTTCCAGTTTGTCTGTAACTCGTCGAAAAATTTGTTTAGGAGTACAAAACTCATTACTATTTCGGATTCCTTTCCTCAAATCTCTTTTTACCACATTTTCTTGAGAATATGTTAAGGGTATGGAAGCTATGGATTCGATTGACAAGAAAACCCCTAAAGTATGTAAATCGGCCATGACGCTTTTACGTCGGTCTGTACAGTGTCTTTAGCTTTAAACTAAACTAGTGTTTAGAATTAAACCACAGGCTAACTATTTCTTATTCACTTTAACAGTTCTAAAATCAAATCTCGAAACCATTAATTTGTTGATGGATCTGTAATTGTACATTCTTCAATTTACATGTAATTAACCATGCCTGATTTGTACTGTATTTTTGTGATGTTAATAAACATTTCACATAAGACTTAGATGGTTCTGAAATCTTGAGTACTGTAATAACTGAACACCTTTGTATAGAGATTAGTAATCACCTACTATCACAATCGCTCATATTCAGCATTTAAGCATAGTTATTGCCTCTGAATAAATATTGAGTAAACCAATTTACTAAAAATAGTTATTACTATACAACTTATCGATCATTTCATTACATTTTGAATAGTTGAAACCTTTAGTATTGTGATTAACTAACCGTTGGCATCATTTTGTGACATACTATTTTCATATTTTGTTTTGACAATTTGCTTTACAGTTACAAATCTGATTAAAATTTATACTAAGTAGAGAACATTCAATAAAGACAAGTGTTTATCTTCAATCTCATGCTTTTACGGCCAGTCTTTTTAAATAAATATGGACTTTGATTAAATGTTTCGTGAAATATTTTGTCATTTGTACTGATAAATGTATCAAGGTCAAGTATTATTAACTTGGGATCTCGTAGGTACTGGAATTATTATTATGAAGTTTATAAAGATAACATTGATCAAGATGCTTTACATTTCGTTTTAATGTTAAAGGATTTAAGGGTATCAGAAGTAAGTTCCTAGCTTAGGCTTCGTTCATTGGCATTCGTCGACGTGACGTATCTTCAAACACGCGGTAACTGATGCTCCTTGTGTTGTAGTTACTACCCCATCGCTAAGTTATTTGTATTAAGACTTATCTACTGTAGAGTTGGTCAATGAGTCGTAAACAACGTTTAACCTGGTTTTTATTGCTGATCGAGTTATTATCGACCAAGTTAAAATGTGGTCGTTTGTCTAAAAAACTCGACAGTGCATAATATTACTACATTGGGTAGAATGTATTTGAATCCTTCAGGGAACATTCGTTTTCCAAGGATTACTGATACACCTTGTTGAAGAGCGCTATTTAACATGAAACCTAGGTCAGTGGCTCTCTGTCGCTTACCTTTTATCACCTAATACCAGGACATACTACATGCTGTTTTGAATCGTGTAACCTAGTAGTTATATAGAAACTTGATTGAAAGTATTCAGTGAACAGGGAGGATTAAATAAGATGGTATATATAATAATGTATGTAACCAACCAATATTTTAGAACTTCTTTCCTTACATGAATTCTTTTCAGTACCTGAATTCTCAATTTATAGAAGTGTACCTCGAGCATTCTTTCGTTCAATTTAAAAGATAGAGACTAACTCTTGTAATTAGATTACAACATGTGATGTCATTTCCAATTTCTAATACTCGTTTACGTTACAATTTGAGTAAAATATGGCATCATTTATTATTTCGCTTCTCAATTTTGCTATTTTTTAAAGGCATATTTGTATTTCATACGATATGAGACAGCATGCAACAAAAATATTTCATGAGCTTTTAAATGCTTTCGGACAGTACATACAAACATCTTTAGCCAATCCATGTCCAGGTGATGAACTATGTAAGTATTTTCCTCTTAAATGTATTTCTTTTTATATCAAAAGTTTATGGCTTTTTTTGTTTCTCAGTATTCATATTTAGTTTGAATTACATGGTTTTATGTCATGGTATAATTAGAAATTCCTGTCGGTAATGTGCATGTTTCAGGCTTTATCATGAATAAAGTATGAAATCTTGAGTGTCTATTCATCGATAGTAAAATGAATGTTACTATCATAAGATTCGTTTCATGCTTGAAAGAACTCACTCCTATCTGACATTGTTGACCGGAGTTGTTTCAATTATCATTTGGATGGAAGTTTCAGTTTATTTGTATGAATAAGTAGGGAAGATCTTTTGTTACCAATATTCACTGTCAACGATCTTATGGTTCTATTCTAAGTCAGTTATGTATAGTCGTTTCATAGGGAAATGGAGATATCCTAAGAGTTGAAGTTGTGTGGTTGAAATGTAAAAAATTGGTATATAAAATAAACAGTATAAAATAACAGTATTTTGAAGATTTCAGATTAGGAGATGTATTTATTCAACCGGGAATTTTTAAAAGCTGCATGAAAAACAGATTCATTTATTTCGGTTATCTTGCTAATTGTATTGATTAAATCTAATGTTCCATGTCTAAATCAAACCATCAAATTTAAACCCTCGCATTTAAGTTCCGTGTCTTAGTCTATCCGTCCACCAGTTTCTTTAAGGAATTTGCATCATCTCTCTCGTAAACAACAGTGAACAGACAGAAATTTTCACCGAGCTAAGTTGTCACTCTTCATACCGTTATAGGTGTGATGTCACTTAAAAGCGCTTATTTCGAGGCTTTGGCGACTGTTTTCCATTTTAACTGACTATCAGCTGTAACTTTTCAGGGGAATTTTGACCATGCTAGTAAGTGTTTAGAATGTTTGTTTTATTTGTAATAGCGTCTCAATCAGACATTTTAAGTAGTATCTTTTGGTTTTTGTGTATGAACGAAGTAATTAGTTGGTTGCAGATTTCTTGTTTCTATATCTCCCGCAAAGTTTTTTCTTTTTCTTTTTTTACTTACTTATTAAATGTAAGTAGTCAGAAATGTCGTTTTGAAACACATTGAAGTACAGTATATCATAGTAGAAATAAAGATCGTCAATCAGTGTCATTGTTAGTTGTTGCATACCAGTGATACTCATTCTATAATACTTGGTCTTTTTCTAGCTTCTTAGAATCGATTGTTTTTTCATCTGTTCAGAAAATGTCTAGGGATAAAAATCTTAGTGGAAGTGTCATTTTTTAACTATGTTATAAATTGTGTTCCCTCATAATCATGGAAGCTTTCCCTCGCCTCAGTGGATATAAAATTCGATTGTTTTTTTCTAATAACATAATAAATAAGTCCGTGAAAAGAATTTTATGTGGAACTATTCAAATCAATATCTAAAACATGAATTATCTTGTATATTTCCAGAAACAATGACACATCGAATTAGAGCAACATTATTAATTTCAATTTTTTTCCGTAAATATTGGGTTGATACCTGTTAGAGAGTACTGAAAAGCTTGTCTTGATTCCGATTACATTGATTTTTTAAGATGAAATATTGGGAGATAAGTCAATCAATAATGGAAAAGATATATGTCAGCAACATGAGTTATTGATCGATGCCTGATTCCCCGTAAGAATTTACATTATAAGGCATAAAGCAAGATTCATAAGACATTCCCATCGATTACATGGAGTAAACATCCCGTCTAAACTACATATATGTCGAGTAACGGAACCTATTTATTTAAACAGTCCTCAAATATTTCTGTACTGCCAACAAGGGCATCTTCTATACAGTACCATATTGTCGCCTTTTTTCCCCGTACTCACTTTGCTCGGTTATCGGCTTTAATACATTACGTACTTACTTACCTACTTACTTACTTACTTACTTACGCCTGTTACCCCTCGTGGAGGGGCATAGACTGCTCACTAACATTCTCTATCCAATTCTGTCCTGGGAAATCCTTTCCAGTTGCTATTCATCCTGTTGATGTCTGCTTCCATTTCTCGACGCAGTGTATTCTTTAGCCTTCTTCTTTTATGTTTCCTTTCAGGATTCCAGATTAGCACTTGCCTCGTGATGCAGTTTGATAATTTCCGAAATATAGATTCTATCCACCTCCAGCTTCTTTTCCTAATTCCCTATTCAGTTGGAAGCTGATTTGTTTCCTTCCGCAGTAGGCTGTTACAAATGGTATCCAGCCAACGCACATTTACTATCTTGCGTATACAACTGTTTAGAAATACTTGTACATTCTTGATGATGGTTGTAGTAGTTCTCTACGTTTCAGCTCTGTACAGTAGAACTGTCTTGACGTTCGTACTGAAAATTCCCACTTTGATATTGATTGACACTTATTTTGAGTTCCGTACGTTGTTTTGCCCAAAGAACACATTACGCCGGGAAATGGAAATAGACATGAGAAAAATGAACAAGAATTGGATAGAACTAGAAAAGAAAGCCCAGGACAGATTGGGTTGGAGAATGCTGGTCTGCGGCCTATGCTCCATTAGGAGTAATAGGCGTAAGTAAGTAAGTAAGTAATGTTGTTTTGCCGATCCTCGCCATTACGTCTGCATCAGATTCTTATTGCCATGGAAGTTGATGTATAGTGATGAGTTCCATCCAATTGATTGTTCAACGGTGATCCGTAGTGTGGCGATTTGGTCTGTGTACAACAGGTCCTTACGGAGTCCGGTCTGTTGATCTCTAAGTTAGGTGTCTACGGAATCTTTCATTGGTATATTTTGGTATCTTGGTGATGTGCCATTCTTTTCAGTTTGTCTGCACTTGTTCCCCATCCCAAATCGTACAAGATAGAATGTGGAGCATGCTTTCATGTCTGACTTCAGCGTTTCAGGTGGTATGTTGTCAGATGCTGCTAGTTTCCCACTCTTAGTTTGTCTGATGGCCATCCTGATTCCTTCGATCGAAGTATTCTGTCCAACTGAACATCTGTACTTGAATCTCAATGACTCTTGCTTTCTTTGTGCTTGAATGACCTTCCTGGTTTACTATATTTCCCTGCCAATTTCTTCGTCTTATCATATAATTGTTTCATATTTCCTTCTGTTGCAGCTTTTTCCGCTGTCATTGCTAGCTCTTCCACATATTTCTACTTTTCAGCTCTAATGCTCTTGTTCACTTGTTTGTTTGCTTCTGTGTATTCAGCTTGTGCCTTGGTTTTCTCTGTTCTTGTTCGACTGTTGGTAATTACTATCTTCTTACATTGTTGAATCTTGTTCAGGGTTTCGATAGAGATCCATTCCTTATGATGATGCTTCTTGCTGCCCAGCACCTTCTGACATGTTGAAGTTAGTGCTTCTTTGATCCCTTTACAACTATCCTCCATAGTAGTTTTTTCTTCTTCGAGTAGATCTTATGAGGCTTGGAACCTGTTGTTGAGAGTTACCTTGAATTCGTTGAGTTTGTTAGTATTTCGAAGGAATGCTGTATTGAACCTTTGTAATGCTGCTTGTCCAGTATTTCTTCAGCTTCAGCTTCATCTTGGTCTCAATCAGGTGGTGATCTGAAGCTTTGTCAGTTCCTCTCCTGGTTCTCACGTCTTCTATCGTCCTTCCGAAATTTTTAGTGATGCAAATATGGTCGGTCGTACATCAGGATGATCAGGTCATTTCCTGGTAACTTCTCTATGATAGATTTCAGTCTTCCGTAAAACTGGTTTTTGTCGTCGTCGTTGCTATCACTGGTTGGTGCATGACATTCGATAACATTCATCGTGATTCCCTTCTTGTTTGTTTTGAATCATGCTTTGATGGCTTTGGATCCATGAGATCACCACTCAATAAGTGCACATCGTATTTCTTTGGACAGCATCGGAACAACTCCTTGAGTGTGTGAAGCATTTTGCTCTTCGTGACAGGAGTACAGTAGCACCTCTCCCGTATCTAACCTTTTCCGTCCAGCTTGGATCCAATTGGTTTCGCTGATTCCGAGCACTGCCAAGTTGTATCTCCTCATTTCCGTAGCTATTCAACTGGCTCTTCCGGTCTCCCACATTGTTCGAACATTCTATGTGCTTACCTTAATTATTGCTCTGTTTGTTTGAGAGGTGTCGGCCCCGTGACTTCCGAAAGAACTCGGCTTTCATCATGAGGCGTCATAATTGTTCCTTCAACTCGGGAGGTTGAGTTCCAGCGGTTTAATTTATTTGTTCTGGTTAGTGTCTTTTTAGCGAGGTTGTTTTCTACGGGGTGGGTTTGCCGACTCCATGCTCAACCCTTCTTCTTTATCCGGTCTTCGAACCAACATTAATTCTAGAAGAGCTGCAGACGGAGTTTTTCTTACATTTCATTTTTTATTTAATGGTAACTAACACATTTGTTGCTATAGCTACTGGGATATTGTTCACAGCCCTTTCTTTTTTTACCCTTTAAGATCAACTATAAACACAAGCTAATGAATTAATGAATTTTGCTATTATTCAGTTTAGTACTTATCATCCTCAGATTGCTTTTCCAATTTCAAACAAATAAAGTTATGAGTTAGATTTAATTGGTAGTATTTTGAAGTCAACTATTATTCATTTACAAGTTGTTATTACATTTTGATCCACTGTTTTTAATAATAAATTTGGTTATTTATGATGAAGCTGATTAGAAATTGTTAGACTTATTCGTAATGTAAATCCTTGTATGATTATTTCTGTTTATTATTTGTTGGGTTTAAATCTGTTGACTGAATTTCTTTTAAATAAATAACTAAATGTTTCATTCGATAAAAAATTGTTACGAATGACTTGGATTCCTTCATGTGTGATTCATATGGACAATTGATATTATTATCTCTCATATATTGTCATGTCTTTTGGCGCGTCCTATTTACCATCCTATACATAATTATTTCGGATCTTAAATTAATTTTAAAATACCATTCACTTTCGTTTCTAACTTTGCAAACGTAGTTGTGGTTCATGTTTTTCCATATTCTCTTAATCGATTACATTTTAATAGCTAAAGATAATGCTAATCAAACACCGAATCAAACGGTTCATGTTGGAGGTATCAATCAATCCATGTTATATTATAAAGGGAGTTATTTTCCAATCAATATACAATCAAAAGGAATGCTGTAAGTCTAGATTACTGTCCATAATAATAATAGCTATTATTATTATTATCATTGTTATTAATTTTTTGGTTCATATTTTCCTTCAATTTAAAGCAACAAGACAAATAAATCCTGGACATATGAGCACGTAGTGTTGACCTGCATAGTCTGTTAAACTAGATGCTGTTACATCCCGAAACAGTTTATGCTTACCGTTTTTGATATTGAGATAATGATACGTAAATCATTCATTTGGAAATCTTTCATTGATAACCATTGGAGTTTTTGTGTAACTCCTGTTTCGATAGCTTCATTTAACTTCTGATAGTCCATTTTTCGACTCTACTGTAACAGGCTTCTATCTGTGCTTTACAGTGTGTCACAATCTAATTTTAGCCAAACAACTGCATAGAACTAGGAAGCATTACCGAGTTTCGTCCTAGTATGAGACCTCTCAGAGGCGAGGACCCATGACCCTACTGCGATCGTATTCAGGACATTCAGGTGTCGTGACGAGCACTTAACCCTTGGACTATTGGATTGGCGTTTATGTTTTAAATAATGCAAAGATGATTTAAAAATATCCATGTTATTTATTTTATCCTTTTACTTGTCTCTGTATTTAAGTTGCATTTTCATTCACTTAGATCTATTGTTTCTTGTTTTTATATTCGATTATTCCTTAGTCTTGAGATGCTTGATCGCAATGAACCACCAATTTTACCTGATGGTTATTGTCTTTCATTGGCTTTAGTATGTCTACGTAAAACAGTGGACTCACTAAAGGTCATCATCAATGCTAATGTTCCTGAAATTATTAATCATGGTGATGATGACATTAATAATAACAATGAGGATAATACTTCAAAAAAGTATGATATTGTGTTTTGCAAACAAATTGTATCTAATTCATGGTGCAGTATATTATCCACGCTCAGTTTATTACTTGAATCAAGGTAAGTATATATATATATCGCTTAAAGAATTTCAGTCATCTGGTTCTGATTATGCAGTGAATCTTCATATCCCTTCTACCCTAATCGACTTTTCATACGACTTGATTGTGTACCAAATGACTCAGTAGTTCAAAAATTTGATTTCCAGATTTTAAATTTCAAATCACCAACAGATAGTTGCATGCTATAAACAGCCATGTAATTTTATGCAGAAAACACCAAATGTCCTTAATGAATGCTTAGTTATAAATATCGAAATTGTTGTATTTCAGGCAATATTGTTTGAAGAGATCCTTTAGTGGAACTATACTTCTCTTTGGAGCCGAATGAAATTTTTAAATCTTACAGTTAGAAAGAAAATTTGCTCCCTTTAATGTCATAATATTATTAATTTATAATCTTAGTATTAACAGTGGCACAAGTAAAAAACCTTTAAGACCTGAAGGTATGATCTGTTAATATTCAGTTAACTGACGAAAATAGATCCATGGAAATCCTCAAAAAAGAGAACTTACTGTAATATTAATTCAATAATAAAGCTATCTACTAGTGGAAAAAAATAGTTCACAGATCATTAATCATCAAAATGAATAATGTCGCATACATATAAAAGATTTAAAAAAGAAATATAAATTAAGGTTTCAACTTAAAAGAGCCGAATTTCTACTTTGTATAGTGACCATAACTGAATAGCTTAATGATGACATTTGAAATGATATGTTAGCCATTGTTTAAGATATAAAAAAAGATGTTTGAAATAGTTTATAGAACCTAAATTTTTGGGAAATATTCAGGACAAGTTACAAAAATATATCCTTGCGTTATTAAAATTATTAGAAAATTAATACATGTAAAGCATTGACAAGGACTTACTTTAAGAAGGCTCATAAAATAACGTATATCAAGTTGCGAAATTAAATATCATATATTAATATGTTTTTTAAAATAATTTCTATTCTTAAGAATAATTCAGTGAATGAAATATCACGAAATAACTAGGCAAGGCTACTGGACAAAAGATATTTGTTCAAAGTAGAAGTAACCGGTTCACAATCTCAAATTTTTTAATGCCGATCATAAGATAGTTGTTAATATTTTATATTACATCGAAATAGTGCGATGTTTGTAATCATAAAGTAATGATGTATTTATAGTATTCCGATGAGCAGGGAATTGAATTTCTGACGTCTCAAAATTTGCATCTTCTGGTATTCAACAGCTGTATAGAAACTGAACTATCTCCATTTACACACAACTTGAGGGAAGAAATAGTGTTTTTCGTAGTTCTTAAATTATAAACTGATTTTAGACAACCATTGAAATCCTTGAAGCACTGGACGATCGTTTCATCCTAGTATTTGACTACTCGGAAGTCCGCATTCATGTATACGAATAGTGCTAGCGAGCAAGTCTGATCGTTCTAATATCATGCTGTTCAGATCAAAGGTAGTTAGAGATGCGACATGTTTGTGGTGTATATGATGATTATAGTAAACTTGATATCAATAATATAAACGATTGGTTCAATTCGTATATGTATTTGTGGTGTAAGTTTTGTTTGACAAACTATCTTATGAGGTAGGGGGAATTAAATATAAAAATTCTTGCCCATTTTATCTTTGAAAATTATTCGTCTGATTGGTTTGATGTGATCCTTCGCTTATTTGGTCACTAAAGGATATAGCCCCACCACCCTTTTATTATTTAAATCTGGTTACTTAAATGTAGTGTAGCGTAGGCGCGTTTTATTGGATATTGGGATTTGTAATTTTGTATCTAAGTGAAGTCAATCGCTGCCCGAATAGCTCAATAACAACGTTTCAGGCTATGAAGCTCGGGGACGCAGGATTGAGTCAACCAGGGAGCATCAGTTACCACGATAATACAGGTACACCTTGCTAAGAGTTGCGAATTGCATGAAATATACATCTAGGGTTTCCTGTCGGTTAATTCCAACCACCTAAAATTTCGACATATTACGCGATGTTCATTCACTTAGATTAATGGCCACTTTGCAATTCGATTAGTATTAAAGGACTAGATAAGCATTCGTCAGTCAGTTGGAACTCGTTTCGTCAACCATTTACAAAAATAAGTTTTTCAAATAACCAGGCTCTAATTTTTCATAAATAAAGATGATAAATTATATCGAATGAATATCTCAAATAAAGGAATATTCGTTGAGAATCTCTCTAATATATTATCTTTTGTTTCGAGTTTATCGGAACCGTATCATTTAAGTTTATGTTATATACAACTTAAAGGAAGAAATAAAGTTTTTACGTTTCAATGGTGGAAACTGCCAAACTAATAAAAAAAGCTTGGATAATAAATAAAATGAAATTCAGAATATTATTAATTAATTAATTAATTAATCACATCTACACCAAACGAGATATTTCAAGCCATGTATAATATTTTTCTTTCGTTATCCCTAAAAGAATAAATTTGTATCTGACATATGATGTCAATCGAGTGAGTAGACATATAATTCAGATAAAAATTGAGGAAACTGATAATTATTCACTTTTTCATATCCACTTACATACAGATGGATACATAAGGACATATTACACAATTATCCTTGACCTGAACACTTTTACCTATATGTTTCAGATTGAAGATTATTAGTTTTTCGGGAATAAGCTCTCTTAAATCAAAACTATCTGTTAACATTATTATAATTAGATAACAATAAAAACCATAATATTTACGTTTGAGTTTTCTTACTTAGAAATGAAAATATAAAAATGAGGTCTAACAGTTAATTATTACCACTTAAATGGTCTATATTATCAAATGACTCATGTAATCAGGTTTCTTTTGTTGCTCTCAGGCAGTTTAGCCAACGAGTAAGTGAAAATCTTTCTGGGTGGTGTGGAACAAAGTTAATATATAGCTCTGTTTTATCACGTTTAGTCAGTAGTGGTAATGTAGCAAATAAATCTAAATGATTCCTAGTGACATTTTACCTGATTTTTAGTAGGAGCTATAGCGATTTGAGGACGACTATATTCACTGTATTCAAAAGAAATTTATGAGATCTGTATCTTTTATTGGTCAAGTTAAAACTTGATAGTCGACTTTGCTAATTTTTTTTGAAACCTTTGTGTCCTTACCTTACTTATTTCGTGCCTTTTCACTAGTTATATTTTTAAATAGATTATTCACAGATTTTGTTTTGAGTAATTTTTATTGATTTTTATTTTAATAAGTTTGTCTTCCTAAGTTTTGACCTACTTTTTATGTTGAAATATTTATTCAAACTGTCTTTGTTCTTGTCATTCAGTCGTTTGTTCATACATAACATAGAACTTAACAAACGTGAATCAGTTGAAGTTATTGCAATACATTAGCACGGCGAGATGGGGTTACTATGACAAATCCCTGTGTAACAGATATACTAGTACTAATACGTATGTCATTTTATAGGCTCTACTTATTATCACTAGTTATATAATTTATTCGATTAATCTTTAACACTGACTCGCAATGTGATTTGATTTGTTTAATATTTCTCATACATGCATATAAATATTACTCATATTAAGTTTTATTCGCTGATGTGTCGTTCCAACAACATAAATCTGTGTACTGTATCTGAAAAAGTCAGTAACAGTCAAGGACATAGCACAAACACATCCGGTCAGGAATTAATTTGGTCCCTTTTGACAGAGTCCAGGAACTATTTCTCCGTATAGTTAGTCAGGCATTGATGCAATGTATTTTTAGGATGAATTACTTAGCTATTTTAATTACTATTTTCTAAAATCTATACTTCATTTGACTACAGTGCTGATCATCACATAACATCAGGTCTTCTTCAGTCTTTGCAAATTATGATTGAATTAAGCGGAAAGTTACAGTTGGATGAATCTCGAGATGCTTTCTCTATAACTATGTGTAGAGCTGCACTGCCGTCTTCATTTGGACGTTCTTTATTGGCAACACATTCTAAAAGTATGTTCTATCATTTGGTTGAATAATAAACCCACTATTTCTATATCAAATTATAAATTAAAGTCATGTTATGAATAGTGATTAACATAGGATCTCGTCCCATGTGTTACTCGTCAGATATATGTATCTGTTTCCTATTGTTGGTTTGTCCACTAAGACTTAAATTATTTACCTACAGTTTTAAAAGCTAAACCATTGTACACCGAACTATTAATTCACTTTAATTACTGATTCGTTCAATGAATACAGTATTTTCACCTCCCTATTCGTAACATTCAGGATTGAATTCAATACTTCCATAATTTTTGAACCATGTGTTGGGAATTATGCCTTAGTTATTTATTAAATTACACTAGGATCTGAAGCAATATTTACTGGGGTTATGAACATTAGGAATATTTGTGCAGCCTAGCTAACTGTTATCAACTAAGAGATACAAATAAAGTCAAAGTATCCATTCAATTAACCCACGTACTAAGGAAAACTAAATAGATGGATTATATGTGATTTTTAAACGTTCGATTTTATTCGCATGTTAATACATGAACTTGTACTAAATAATTAAACTTTATTATTCATATTCATTGGCTTTAAGATATCAATGCCAAGGTTAGACTTGATAGTTCCAAATAAATTGAGCATTGGGTAGATGGTTAGTAATAAATATATTTTTGTTATATCCCAGTGAATAGGAAAATTGTATCTCTGGCGTTTTGTGACTTAATGTAAGCCACTTCTTCAGAGGGAATTGTATTGTTTATTCTGTACTATTTAAACTTATGTTAATTTAATTTCGGTTATTTATTTACTTTAAAGTAGTGGCTTACATTGAGTCACGAAATATCAGGAATACAGTTTTTCTATTCATTGAGATATAACAAAAATATATTTACTAGTATAGGGGTTGTGGAGATTATTAACTTTTTGATTGAGATCATGAACCGATTGACGTTAGACCACCACAATTGAAAACCTGGAAGCACTGGACGGCCGTTTCGTCCTATTGTGGGACCCCTCGGCAGTGCGCATCCACGTGAGGGAATTCTCGGAGTTCTAGTGAGAAGCCGTGACCAGTGAAGCTAGTCCTTGTCGGGTAGAGACAGGTATCTACCTCAGTACAACGGAAGTTGGTCGCGCAATTTCGTGGATTGGTTGATGTCAGAAACTATCACCATTGGATGCCGGCTCAGTGGTCCAGTTGGTTAAGCGTTCGCACGTGAGACCGAAGGCCCTGGGTTCGAATCCCGCAAGCGGGGTTGTGGATGCGCACTGCTGAGGAGTCCCACAATAGGACGAAACGGCCGTCCAGTACTTCCAGGTTTTCAATGGTGGTCGTCTAACATCAATCGGTTCATGATCTCAATCGAAAAATATATTTATTATTCTGTAGTTTTAGGTTTTGGTAGCTCTTAATTATGGATAAATGTTCACTGTGTATTTGTTTCTTTTTGAAAAAAAATGCTTAAGCTTCAATTAATTTCTTGTCAATAATGCAATTTCACTGTTGAATTAATGACAAATAGTTCCATTTGAAATCAATTAATCAAAAAAAGGAGTTTGTTCATTACATTATCTCAGTTTTAATCAATTTGTTCTACTAGTAATGCACACATCACAATTATGTAACAGTTATTACTTTTTTAAAATTTACTATATCATCACTTCTGGATTTGGTTGTGATAATTTCTTTTTTGAAGTGTTGTTGACCAAGGAAGGAAAAGGAAACGTTAAAACATTTTTAATTTCGAAACTATCTTTTCAAATTATCTCTTTAACCAATCACTCTTGATTTCCTATATTTATTAAAATTGATAAAAATATATATTTATGGTTTACTTCTTTGTAGATTGTTCGGTAATATCTCAGTTATCTCCTAATTTTAATGGTGCAAATAATCATGATGATATATTTGAACGTAGTGGAATTGCTTTAGTGATTTCTCAAGGTCCTGGCCATACTGTTCATATTAATCCACCTACAAATATCTCATCTATTCTTCAAAACATATCAAGTCAGACTACACCTACTGGACATGTTCAAAGTGGATCCGGATCCACTGTAAATACAGATTCTTTGTCATCTGGAAATATACTACTTACTATTAAACATTTACAAGCAGCTTCTGCTGTTTTAACAACTGCTCATGCACACGGTGATGTTTTAGATTCATCATGGATTATATTTCTAACTACAATGCAGGTATATTCCTCTTTTTTCAACAATCTTACTTTTATCTAGATTATTAAATTTTGACTATTAATTAGATTTTAATATGTGCTAATATTCATCTATATACTCAATATATGGTTTTTGATCAATGGTTGCAACATATCTATTGAGAAAATTTATTAATTGTGAAGAGTCCACAAAAATTTTTCGGTAAAGTACTATATAGGCCCAGAAAAAGGATAGAAACGTTTTATCCAGTCAACATTGAATAGGAGCTTATCAGGGAAATCTAGAAAAATAAAGAATTATGTGTTGCTTTTAAATTAGATAATTACTTGTATTGTTGTGATACGAACTACATTCCCAGGCGTTTTTTTAGAAGGTCAAGGTTATACAAAACTATATAAATGCACTCAATTTCCTGTACATAAATTATTCTTGCAGTAAAGCTTTTAATTATATTCTAGACTTTTTTCTATTGTTCATTTTTAGATTTGGAAGTACTCTAGTGTTTTAGTCATTCATTCAGTAGACTTATCATCAGTATTCACAGTATTTTTGTACACTATGTTGTATTCTACGTGTTTATTGTTTATTTACGCAGCATATAGGTTCTTTGTAAATAATTTTAAACTGTGAAATTCGGCAATGAAGGTAGAGGTGTTGTGTAAGTTACAATTATTTGATCACAGTAGACTTTAAAACATCCTAGATATAGGCTCTAAACATTCATTGACTAGGGACATGTATTGTGCACGCTTCGTCACTTCCTTGGCTGAAAGAAAACTAAAGACACATTAATTAATACAAAGTTAGTCGATTAATTCATTTGTCATTTGACTGAACTACGCCTCACATATAAACCTTTAGGTTGGTTTGTATGCAAAGTTCGTAATCTATTGTTGATATCGTTAATTTATCTTTTCGAAAATTAGTCTCATTATCAAAATTTCGTCCATTACTTATCTGACTCGAATGGTAAAATTTCATATATTTTTGATTATTTCCCTTTTTTCATGTCATTCGTTCGTTTTGAAAATATATTTTTTATGTTTTTTAATACGGTTGATATTAGTTGCCTTTTCTTTAGTTTTCGTCACATTTATTATCTCTTCCCATGTGCCACCGGCATGATTTGTAGTAATCTTAACATTTGTGTCACGTTACACATCGTCTATGACTGCTTTGATTAATACAACTAATCTTAATTTCTAGTTTTAAACACATAAAAGTTTTTTATCATTTTAACTGACTGATGTGTGCTTGTTTGCTTTTTGATAACATTTTGACCTTTCAGGCATTAATAATAATAATACTAATAATGATAATTGTAGTATCTGTTATCCATCCTGGCAGCGACATCCCGTTTATGGTCAGGATGGTCGAGCGGTCCAAGGCGTTCAGTTAGCGGTCCACTCTGTGAGCGTGGGTTCGAATGCCACTGCTGACACTAAACTTAGCACTCAAATACCCTGGTACGACCGAGGGTGGGGAAAGTCAGCTCTTTCTCGAAATACTCTCACATGGCCACGCATAAACAACCACTGACTGACTGACTCAATTCCTTGTTTACGAAATTGAAACAATGGAAAGCAAATGTCCGGCGTTTTAACCGAGTTAGTGGACGCGGAGAGTCCACCTACGGAAGTTGGAAAACCCTGATTTTTAACCAATGGTGCACATGGTCTCCAGGTTCTTGCAGGAACAAATGGTATACGAATCAATTATTTGTCACTGGCTACCATGGGACTGTATCTACTATTGTTGTTCCACTGTCTTGCGGATCAAACCTTTAGGCTGAAGGCTCAGTGTGCGACTCCTTAAGAAAACCACCTGCTTCTGTCTGGACACCCGGACATTATCATAGCCCACACACAAATCAAGTGACTTGTGTGGCGCATATGCATTCAGTGCCCCTTTGTATCAATATTTATGTGTTCAGAAAAATAAATATCCATGAGTTTTATTGTTATGATTGTCAATGATGATGGAATATTACACTCATTAAAGTAAAAAAACCTCTTTTTAATACATTCAACAAAATTACTTTTGAGAGATGCGACAAATTAAAAGCAGTAACTTGATGCAGAATTCAAAAAGACATGACAATAGCTGCGATTTCTTTCCTTTCATTTCTGACATAATGATGAATAGACTGTATTGAATTGCACGTAAATTTGTGTAATGTATTTTCTCTTTGTGAACCGCAATTGACAGTTAGAAAATGGATTATCTGTGTAGTACGTACCAGAATGATATATGCGTCTCAATAGTTTATTTCACGATTTTGCTGTTAATTGATGCGAAAATTTAATCTGAATGTTTATTCCAAATTTAAATAAATGACAGTTTGTTTTATTCTTTAATTTAATACAAAAGTTAATTTTTACTTTTAAAATCATCAGGATTTTTTTTGACGGTTGTAGAAGAAGATTTCAATGTTTAGTTAATAATTTACCATCATCTATACATTATCCCTGACCATCGGTCATTAACAAACTTTCTCTGGAAGATGTGTGTACATGTCAATATTAAGGATTTTTCTTGCATTAATTGCTTAAAATATCCATTTCATGAAACACATCATTAATCATGTTCCCTCATAAAACGATGTTTTTTGTAGTCTTTAAACTATCTGATATTATCAGATTGGGAGTTTGTGGAGATTGTATTAATTTAATAGTTGGGTTCATGAGTCGATTTCAGGTAGACCACCATGGAAAATCTGGAAGCACTGGACAATGGTGGACGGTCGCGCAATGTAGTGAATTAGTTGAAGTTAGACATTAACACTGTTAGATGCTGGCTCAGTGGCCTAGAGGTTAAGCGATCGTGCGCCGTCCCCAAGTTCCTAGGTTCGAATCCCATGCGCGGGATCATGAATGTGCACTACTGAGGAGTCCCTTACTAGGGCGAAACGGCCGTCCAATACTTTTAGACTTTCAATGGTGGTCTAGTTTTAATCGACTCATGAATTCAACTATCTACTATTATTCATTACTTGTAGTAGCGCTGAAATAACATTGTTTTTAACAGTTCGTTATTCTTATGATCATTTTGTTTCTTGATTATCAGTTTTCAGAGTAATTCTTAGATTGATTCTGTCCGATTATAAACGGGTCATCCGTTTTTTAATTTTTTGATGATTATTTCTGAATAATTTACCTTGTTCATTTGTTATAGTTCGACTTGATGTTTTTTATTTCATGGGATGGTTAAATTAGTTCGTTAGAAAAAATTAACTTCCGTCGTCGAAAAATAAGTTTTGAAACTTGAACCAATAATTAACTGGTTAGAGTATTCAAACATTCGGATTATAACTTGTAACTTGTTTCATTCACTTCAATATATGCAGTCATGTACGTTGAACTATACTTGGTTGCGGAGTTTTATTATTCTATGAAGTTTTAGCACCAATTAATTCTTTTTTGTATTGGATATATATCTTGTTGTAATTTTCACCTCAAAAAGAGCCAGGTTGGGTAGTATCCAATGTCAATGGACTTCAAATCATAACAATAAATTTCTATTGCCCACAAATTTTAACCCTTAATTTCTGATTTAGACTAATTTAGAGTGATAATGTTTTGACATATAACTTGAGGATTGTTCATTACTGTTACGAAAAACTTAAAAGGTAAATTTAAATGAATCTCATGAATGACTTATCAATGTGTAAAATTTCTCACCGCTTTAATATACAATCGAAGTTCGTAACTAATTTCAGGTTCATATATTTTAAGTCATATTCTAGATGTTTGCGTTTTTGGCGATACTAATTAATCACCCAAACCGAAATAGGTCTTACGAGGTTTTCATGAACAGCCTAATTGTTGAAACCAAGTATTTTGAACACTAAGTCGTATTCTTTCTCTCTCTCTCTCTCTCTCTCTCTCTCTCTCTATATATATATATATATATATATATATATATATATATATATCGTTCTCGTGGTTTCCCCCTTGACTGATATCTTGTTTAAATTAAAATTTACAGCATTTAGTTTGGATGTTGAACTTGAAAATTGAACCATCGGCTAAATTATTTTTCAAACCTGTTCAAGAATCATGCACAACTCATACAACAAAGGAAAATGTTAATTCATCAAGTGATACAATAAATGAAAATGCTGATACTGGAACTACCAGTACTAATATTACTACTGGTGTTGCTACTACTAGTACTACTATTACTACTAATAATAATCAAGTTCCTACACAAAATATCTCTATGACAACACTTTTCTCAGTGACATCTGAATTAACATCATTATCATCAATGCTTACACAAATTTTTATTCAGTCCAGGTAAGTAGTTACTTTTAACATTACTTGAGTAGTAGGTTATTTATTTCAAACCTTTTTGTCTAAAATATACGATAGTAATCCTTAAAATCACTGTAACAATCGACTAACAATACTATTTAGCCTTACATTTTAAAATTCAACTTACGAAAAAAACAAACAATCGAGTTAAAACAATATTTTCAGTTTGTATCCAACTATATTTACCGTTCAAACAATAAATATGTGTCATCTATAAATGTTTATTGTGACAATGATTTAATGTAGGAAATGAACCAAATAATTAATAATAATAATAATGTATTTCATTATTTTTACCATTTAAATCGTTAAATAATTTTAGCTTTTATTCATCTAATTCATTTTTCAATTTTTCTTAATTTCTATTTCCTCTAGATGATTCTTTTCTTCTTTTCTCTTGTCTCTTTTACTGTAAAAAAAGAGAAAATATTGTATGATAGGGATAGTTGGAGTTAGTTTACTTCTTAATGATATTCAGTCATTATTACTGGTATTGTTACTTTAATGTTGTTGTTATTTAAAATAACTAATCTCTATATCCTTTATACACCTGCTTCGGTTTGGGCACCCATGCAGTATGTATTTGGTGCCTCCTTGTACCAATATCCATGTGTTAAAATAAATAAATATCCTTTATACATATATACATCATATTGATTAGTGTCGTGATTTAAATTAAAGTTAAGCTCATAATGTTTCATTGTTATCCTTCTCATATGATCAACTTCAGTCTATAATGAATTGAGATTCAATGATGAATTCATCTTTAAGCTAATAAAAACTGGTTAATTTATTTCGATATCTTCAGAATTATAAAGTAAATTAAATTTATTCTGAAAATATTATCCTTTTTTGTATACTAATCGGAATGATTTTTCTGGGGGGTGGCTGGCTGATGTCGAGTACATACATAATTTAATACTTTATTTATTTATTCTTGTAAACAGTCAGATTGTTTAAAAGTATTAATTGTTTTACGTTTATAGTAGTGAAGTACTTATAAATCTTACAATATTCTATTGCGTATTGTTGTTTGTTACTTAGTTTAATTTAGTCATTAGTGTAAAAATTATCCTAAGTTGATTGATTTACATTTAATAGTTTATTTTTAACCATTTGATCTCAGGTTTGAACACCATTATATATACTTCTATTTGCGCAACCAGACAATATTTATGGTTTATATTCATTAAGTGTTGTTCATAGATGAGTACATGAAATTTTGCTTTGTAAACAAGTTGTCTTACAGTTTGAATTCATGTTTCAATCAGTCTCTCTCTCTCTCTCTCTCTTTAGAAGCTATTTTTATTTAGCCCAATGAAGGTATCAGTGTAACTTTCACTAAACCACTAGTTTAATAAGCACTGTCAAATTATATAGTAAAGATGTCATAGGTGTCATTACCAATATTTAACTTGATTATTTAAAATAAATTGAGTATTCGGTAGGTTGTTATTGATAAAAGTAATATACTTGTAATATCCCAATTAGTAGAAAAACTAAACTTTTAAATTTTCTGACGTTTCTTGACTCAGTGTGAGCCACTTCTTCAGAGAATAAATAAACAAATTAAATTAAACCAAGTTTAAATAGTCCTTCGTACTATTTTAGTTAATCTTTTTGGTACAACATGTCATCAGAAAACTACCACTCTATCTAAAGTAACCTAACGGATAGTATTTATGTGTGTCTGTGTTATTGTTGTCATTCAAGGCATCATTCTTCTCTTGCTTCTAACTTTTAAATTACAACAAACAAAACGTACCGTGCTCATATTCAAGAAAACATTTTACTCAATATTATTTCATTTACTATCTGATTTACATTGTATAAATTATTTTCGTCCTGTGCACATGTACTTTATTACAGTCATACCACTCTCCAGTAACACGACCTATAAACTTGGTGACTAGATTTAATTTTAGTGAAATGTATCGAAATTTAACCAGTTTAATGGAATAAATGCTCAATTTTATATCATTATACTTATTTTGCACTTTTCTCTTTCTCCAATATTTTGTACATTATCAATCCCTTACAATACGTACAAAAAGCGATTTGAGTGTAGATGCTCTACACAGTTTTATCTCAGCACTTTGTCGTCTTTCATCAGATGCATTAGAAGCAGTGAAAAACAATCGAGTAAGTTCATATGTCACTTTTTATTTTCTAGAAAAATATTGACTTTTCACTCCCCCCCTGTTATTCGATAAGTTAATTAAGGTTTAATTTTTGACACATACATATTGATATTTATTTTGTTTTCAGTATTACATTTGATCTGTAAGGATGGTTGTTATTTTAGCCTGGATTGTTGACAATAACTAACTAACTAACAATGTATCCGAACGCCGAGTTCATAAAACTGTACTTCGTAAATGCATAATACATTCATACTATAAGGGTGATTATATCGAAATTTCTTTCTTTTCTCACTACTTTCTCTCTGTTTTATAATAGTTATTTTCTCTAATTGTTCGAAATATATCGTGCGCATATATTTCCTTCTTTAAATAAGTATCATCCCTATTTCACTGTTTACAACTTTAGCCTTAAATAATCAGTAATGCTTTTCTTCATAAATAATCTTATTATTATATGTATTTGTTTCGTTTTAATTGTTTGAGTAATTATGGGCTCACTCACATTTTCACTACTTTTGCCCACTTATTACTAGTCTGTTTCGATTGGATCATCATTGATTTTGTTTGTAGAAAAAACTTATAATTATTATAAATCATTTGACACAAAAATTCAATGAAAATGAAGAAGCTAAATAGCTATCTTCATTGGTATCATTGGTAAACAAATAGCTGGATATAATTATTTGTAAAGGACACCTACCTACTTATGTTTCACGTTAGAAAGTGACCAAATGGTGTTTGTTAGTTGTTTTAATTTTCTGACAAATCAATGTTTTCCTCATTTATTTTATCAGCATTTTATGCAATAATAACTGGAAATCCTTCATAATGGGTTGATTTTTAATCTGCTGACGAAGTTAAGTACAATTTAATCCTATATATTGGTCAGTCAGCTTAGCTTATAGTAAATTATAACCTAATATATATATAAACAAGACAGACTACATAGATAAGATGAGTTCCCTACTGAGTGATCAAACTAAATTCCAAAAGCTTGGGTCATGTAAAGACCTCAATGAAAAGACTGAACGTCAACTAACTACAGCATTAAGATTTCTAAATCAACACCAACACATCTCTGAGCATAACTATAATATGCTTAAGCCTTCTGGAACACATACCCCTCGACTATATGGTCTACCTAAGATCCATAAACCTGATATTCCTCTACGCCCGATACTGGATATGGCAAATTCACCATACCATTCAACAGCAAAATGGTTAGTTAAGTTATTAGAACCATTGCACCAAGAACTTGCTAAGCATAATGTTAAAGACGTTTTTGAATTTGTTGATACAATTAAAAATATGAATATCAATGGAAAAACAATGCTATCACTAGATATAACATCTTTGTTCACTAACATCTCTCTGACTGAAACTATAGATTACATATGTGAACAACTGATAGAAAAGAAAGTAGAGATTCCTATCCCAATAAATAAAATGCAAGAACTTCTGTTGAAATACACTATGAATATCTTCTTGAAGTTTAACAATGAATTTTTCCGACAAGTAGATGGGGTAGCAATGGGATCACCTCTAGGCCCGATCCTTGCTAATATTTTTCTGACAAAACTAGAAAATGAACCGCTTAAAGACATCCTAACTAAGCTTGATTATTACTGTCGATACATAGATGACACATTAATCATATGTGACGAAAATATCGACACACAGGAGATGTTAGACGCTTTCAATAATGTCCACCCAGCCATTAAATTCACCAGCGAGGAGGAGAAGGACAGTAGCATAGTTTTTCTAGATATCCGGCTCTCTAGAAGGATAGATGGTTCCATAAAGCGAAATATGTTTAGAAAGTGTACATGGACGGGTCAGTATACCCATTTCCAAAGCTTCACACCTCTGCAATATAAAATAAATTTGGTTAAGTGTCTCAACCACAGAATCAATTTATTATGTTCTGAAGACAGTGTGGAGGAAGAAATAGTTATACTAAAGAACACATTACGTAATAATGGCTATCTTGATAGTTTCGTCAAAAAATACCTCGTACAAAGTATTAAAAAGAGAAGACATTGCGACACGGTCAGTAAAAAGACCTTATATCTGAAACTTGACTTTAAAGGCGACATAGTGGGTGATATTCTAAAACGTCGACTCAAAAGATCTGTCGAGAGGACGTTTCATGCCGCCAAGTTACACATAACTTTCTCGACTAAACCAGTGCTCACACAACTAACCAAGGATAATTTTCCGAAGATGGGCTCCTCCATGTGTTTATACCAATTCAACTGCTCCTGTGGAGCTAGTTACATAGGCCGTACTCAGAGGGCTTTATCCTTGCGTGTTCGTGAACATGTACCAGCATGGTTGGGAAAAGGAGTCACCAAATTGATTAACAGCACCATTCTTTCTCACTTGGTAGATAGTGAACATCATATCAAAATAGAGGAAGCTTTCTCTGTTTTATATCAAGTACCAAAATATCTACCTCAAGGAGCTAGATTACGACTGCTTTACACAGCCGAAGCCATCTGGATCAACTCCAGAAGACCTAATTTATACATCCAGAAAAAATATATCCAGCCTTTATGTTTACCCTGGCCTACGACTGAATCACCGAATACCTAGACTGAATATTATAAACCTCTAACCCTTCCTTTATTTTTATTTATTTTCCTTATTATCATTATTTGTCATTATCTATATCTTAATCTTCATATCCATCATTCCCAATTTGTTGACCGTAATTACCTTGATAACACCCCCCTTATTACATATTATATTCACACAACAATATTATTATTATCTCAGTTGACAAAATTATTTTCAATTTTGCAATAGTACTATTATCTTATTGTGACTGAACAATTTACTGACCTTTATTGAATGACCTTTCTAATATGCAAATATTACAATTTTTTGAAGTATATATATCGTAACAGATGCAAACGTTCACCATTTTTAACACATAACATTGTCAAATGCATTAATACATGCCTTATTTTTGGCTTTTGTAAAATATTATAATTATGGACTTATAACTGTAGAGCCTGATGATGAAGTTATTGAAAACAATTGTTCGCTCAAATATTCTTCGTTTATATATATATATATATATATATATATATATATATATATATATATATTCTTTTGAAGAGAGTGATAGTTAATTCAGTTTACCTAAAATTTAATTTATGGTAAGATGAAATCGCTTATCGTAAACTACTACTAACCTATGATACAAGCTGTATTATCTCAATTATATTGTCATGGATTTCTATACAAATTAGGTCAAGAATATGTTACAGATTATTAGTTCGGATTTTACGTTGTTAATTACAACTGAATTTGTTGTATATTGAATAGATGAATGAGTACAAATGTTTGTGTTCCTTAGGAAATTTCAATGATACCATCTTTGTTTATTGCTATATTTATTTATATCATCATATCGTGTTTACACAATTATTTGTTTTTTTTTTTTTAAAAATTAGGAACCAAGTCAGTTTCCTATTGCTAAACTAACAGAGATTGGATTAGTTAACGTGCATCGATTGGATTTATGGTGGAAAATTATATCAAATCAACTGTTAACTGTAAGTCAGCCTATTATTTCGAAATGAGATTATTTTGTACCTCCACATATTATTCGGAATATAAACATTTCCATTTTATAAGCATCCTTATGAACTTAAAATAAATGTTTAGACCTATTGAGCTTGATCACAAAAAATACTTCTAAATAAATCGAGCAATTTTTTAAATAAATTACATAAATCAAGGAGTCTAAAGTTTTAAGGAATAATTTGTTATAATTTGCGCACTTGAAATCACGAGTTGATCTTAGTTAGACCACCATTAAAAACATGGAATAACTGGTCGGTCGTTTCTTCCTAGTATAGGACTCCACATCAGTACACATCTACGGTCCCACACACAGGACTGGAATCTAGTACTTTCGAATAACGTTCTCACATTCAACATGGATTGAACTCCACTGGTCACAGCTTCTCACTAGAACTCCAGGAGTCACATCTTGAACATGATTGTTATCAGTATGGGGATTTGTGGAGATTGTAGTATTTTCACAGTTAAAATCACGATTCCATTTGTTATAAGCTAATTTCTGTATTACCAACTATTCATAATAACAATCTCAAAATTGTGTATACTATAAACGAAAAAAAAACCAATACATTTACTAGTTGCCAATTAGCAGTAAGGTTAATTTTGTTTCGATTGTATCTTACATAATGAATTCAACTGATAGGTTCGCGAAATAGATAACGTATATATATATATCCTTTTCTGATGTAATATTATTAATAAATAAAGGCTTTTATTAGCAATAATAATTGTATATAATTAATCAACTCACAATCATTGAATGCCAAAACTAACAATGATGGATAAAAATTGTACATGATAGCCTTTAACAAATAAGCAAAGTGTTTATGCGTTTATTCATGTTTATGGTGTATCATGTTCATACAATTAATTGTATTATTCGTTACATTACGTTTTCAAATTTTTCCGATGGTCATTTGTTTTAATTTCACTTAACTCAATTCAATGTATACATTATGTAACATATTCACTTAATCTAAACATGAAGGATTTCATTGGAATTTTTTTTTTAGTTTTCAAAAATTCATCTATTTTGATCATTATTGGATTCTTCAGTAGTGATTACCTCCATTATTATTATTATTATCATCATAGTTATCCTCATTATTACGTAATATTCACAAGTATACAATGAATAAATTCTTAACACTCATAATGAATTGTTTAGAATTGCGCCAATAAACAATCACCACAATGTGAACAATAATAATTTCTTTAATAAATTAACAAACTTTACACGAAACACTTGTGACATTGCACAATAGAGAATAAAATTAATTGAAGAATTTAATAAAACTAATAAATCTAATAAATCACCTAATGGTAAATAAATTGTATGTAGAAAACATTCACCTTTAATTGCAACAAGTGTATTGAATACACCTTGTGGTGCTTCAGTTATAACAAAACTTATTACAACTATAATAAGCATAATTGTAACATGTTGACTTTCACGGGATTTTTGAAGAAGACGACTTGAATGACGATGATTAGGTGTTGTTATTGGATTATTATTATTTCTACTAATACTATTATTCAATTCGTTGTTTATTAATTCATTACTTGGAGTTAAAGAAGATATTTGTAAGAATAATGGATTTCTAGTGGTTGTTGGTACTGTTGACAATAGATCAATATTATTATTAGTAGTATTAGTATTTACTCGATGTTGATGACTTTTTATTCTTAAATCATTGATGTAATCACTATTGTTAAGATCCGAGTTTCTTGTCATTACAATACTATTCGAAGGATTGTTATATGTGATTGGACGTAACAAATTAGCTGATATTTTTCTTGTAAATATGACATTATTACTAACAATTTTATTAGTACTATTATTTCCTATATTACTATTATCCAATTTTATTTCAATTGGTAATGTCTGCAATTTCCGATATCGTTGCCTTGCATCATGTAATACCATTAATATTAATACAGTGAATATAACAATAAGTATCGATGCTAAAAGTTTTACAAAACATCCATATAAAATAAAATGAACACGTTCCAATAATTGACTATTAGGATATAGCTTGAACCAATAGAAATACTGATTAGTAATGGTACTGTTACCATTAATCGTAGTGTTTGCTTCGACGTTTATTATTTTAATATTGTTATTATTATCATCATTAAAATTGTTATTGGTATTATCTAATCGTTTATCATATTCCTTTGTCTCCAATGTTATTGATGAATTCACCACATCAATTAATTCACATTGATATAAAATAAATGTTGGCATACATAACAAGCATCCTATAATTCCTGCACTAATATAACAATAAATAATAAACCGTCTATGTGAGCTAATCATAATCCATGTCAAATGATGATGTAAACTTAACAGATATTTTAATTTTCTTGAATATAATACCCAACAACGAAATGCTGCCAATTGAACTAATAAACATGTTGATATTGTATGACTGCCTATACTGATTGCATGATTTATTAATATTAAATAAACAGCTAGTTGACTATGAGGATATTTGTCTGGATATGGTGATGTAAGAAAATGTAAATAGATAACTTGTAGACTGTATGCTAACATTGTAAAACTGTCTACAATTGCTACACCAGTTAATAAAGCATTTGTTGGATTACGCATTTGTTCTTGCGTTAATATAATGGAATTTAAAAGATTTGTTCCTGTGCCAAATAAGCATACTGTACAAGCTAAATAAGCGTGTATTGTTGAATAGGAAATTTCAAATTGCTTTAAACTAGGTATTATTGGACATCCATTTGATGTGGATACTGTAGATGAAGAATTAGTAGTATATAATGATCTTGACGATATTGATGGTGTTGTTATTGATATAAAAGAAGAATGAAATGAAATATTACTACCGATAAGATTATGCAATAAATGATATTTTTCATAATTGTCACTAGTATCATCCATGTCGTCATTCAGTAGATATTTGTACTGTCTTTTTTACTCGACGAATTATATTTTAATTATCAAAATATTCCTGACACTCATACCTCTGTCTTTATTCTTCAATCGTTGACATAAATCAGCTTATTAATATGTGAATATAGACTTGCAGATCACTAGTCTGTTGTTTCGTGATTGGTTGGTTAGATTCTTTCGTCTGATTGGTTATTGTACATTATGGTCTATGGGTTGACGCGTTTAGCTTTAGAGAGAAAAGCTATAATGCATTGAACGAGTATGTATCGTATTTCAATTAAAGTCGTGCCATGTGGACATAGAATTGGACTTTCTTGTTATTTTTTATAATTATTCTGTTTGCTTTTTATTCATTAAAAGTTTTTTCCATTTAACAAAAGCTCATATCAAATATCTCTCAATTGAGAGCACATTGATAACCCGGTCTAATTTCTTTTTCATGATAACTTATAATACGAATTTAACTGATAGATGTCAATCATATGTTTGCTAATTGTTGTTCTTATATTTATTAGTTCTGCTTTGATATTATAAAATGTCCGTTATCAGTACGGTAATAGTCCTGTTTTCCCATTTCACAAAAATCTATGTGGTTTATGATATATTTTCCTATGTGTATTCAAATATTTTCTTTTGTTCCCTTAATATCTAAACCTTCTTTGTCTACGATATGTCTTCATTCCTTGTATACAGCTTGATTTGCGAGTTATGGAACTTGTGCTTCTGTAATTGTATATTTGATCGGTATGAGTTCATTTGTGTTATACATGAGTTTCAAGTTTTACAGTATTAATTCCGGTGATCAGTATGTTCAAAAATGGTAGTTTGTTGACTGATTCTTTTTCAAATGTGAAGTTCATAGTGTCAAATACACTGTTAATAGAATTTCAAGTAATTCTAGTTTATTCTTTTTAGTTATGACAAATGTGTAGTCTGGATATCCTATTCAAATCATCAGTTTAATCATTCGTAAAACTACAACATAACTAAGTTTACAATCAATCCGGGTGCTTGTGATCACGTTGGAGTACCTTTTCTTTGTTTGTGTAGCTCTCTGTTACTCTGGAAATTTGTTGGATACATGTTGGTGAGGTCATTTTAAGTACTGACTGTGAATTTTGGTGTATTCTGAAAGATTCTTACCGATTTTGCAGCCTTACTCATCTCAATCGACCCGAATCTGACAAAGAATGATCTATCCCTACTTCTTACCAGCGATAGGTTTTTACGTTTAGTCGATTCGATAAACAGTTACCATTCTACTTGCTCCCATTAAACTATGGATCTTTGTCATCCACCAATTCTACTTTGCATTCAGGTGCATCTACTAGAATAGCTTGAGAAAAGGCAAGACATGTCGATTGCATTGTTTATTTTACAAGGCATAGTCAACACAGGAAACTCAATTTCATATTCATCATTTGATCTCATTTATAAAAAATATTTACATCGGTAACTGGTAATAAGTTCAAATCAGTAGATAGCAACAAATGTAATCTTTTTTATATTAATTAACTAATTGTTTGTATTTGCTGTGTTTTAGTAATTTTTCAGAAATAGCTTAGTTTAAGCCATTCTGTATATAAGAAGATTTTATGTTACATATGGTTAGAACAACACTCACATATCTTGTGCAATTGAATACTATTTATTTAATGTAACTTATTAAGTGTGGGTCTTCCAATCAGATCTGAGCCACATGTTTTACTTGTAGGATACCCAAATGTCCGAATCAAAGTGAGTCGATAGTTATTCGAAAGTCAAGTGCCTTAACCTCTAGTCCACCTTTCCAAAAATTTTCAAATTATACTGAAATATTATTTAAGACCAGTTATCTTTCGTAACATGAACTAAGACGGTAATCAAAGTATTCAACTTTCAGCTTCAGAGTAGCACATTCTCATGAAGCTTTATCGACTGAGGCTTGAGCCATTATGGTGTGATTCAAAGGTGAGTACTTGAGTCTGTACCTCACAAAGAAGTTTATTTGGCAAAACTATTTCTATTTTTCGTGTATAGTCACCTGTTAGTTACTAATGAATCTCCTGTTCCATGCGATAAAAAAACACACTTTTTTGAAAAATATTTCCCATCACGTAGAAGCGTGCCATACCATATTGTTGCGCATGACCATGTTTCTTTCTAGTGTATGAATGATTTCTTCTTAATTTTTACATAATTATATCTAGGTGTGTAATTGCACTCATGCCACTCTCCGTCAGCTATCTTCAAGCTGTTTGACCAGTTTAATCAGACAAGCAATTGCTGCTCCACAGAATCCTCCTTTTTGGCAAAATGAAGTAAGTATTCACTAGAATCAAACTATTTATATATATAGGTTACCACTAATATTTCTATTATTATTTTTACTATTATTATAGCCTTCGCATCCCTCGTTCATATATTTTAGATAGAATATAGCGTGTCACCAATTTTATTTGATACTAATCATTGTTGACTAGCAATTTGTTACTGGAATACAGAAACATGTTTTCAGATCGCACAAAATTCAACTTTCATCATATTTAGCGCCCGGCCAATGGTTGCTTCTACAAAAGGTTTATGTGTTAAATGTTGATGTATCAATAAACTAAACTCTATTTTTTGTCTTATCTATTATATCTTGTGCATGTAGGTTTTTGTATCTTCCGTTGTGATTGAATTAACCACTGACAGTTATCTGTGCAGTAATAAAAATTTGATCCAAAAGTATTTGAAAAAGAAACAAAGGTAGGAAAATATTATACAACAGTCTGCAAAAATTCTCTACAGTGATTATAACTATGTATTCACTAATGACTGCTTTCTAAAGGTTGTTCATTGACAGAGTTCTAGTGAGAAGCCGTGACAAGTAAAAGTCAATCGTTTCGAATGCGAGACAGCTATCTAAGAAAGCTTTCTGTAAAACTCATCTTTTACATCATCTGAGCTGCAGTCAGTGGGAGAATAGGCAGAGACGACGAAGAGGCAACGTCGAGTGTCCCTATCTTTCCGAGTCCTTATTGTTCCGTTTAGTCGGACAGCGCACAAACGACTGTCTACTGGGATCCAGTTTGAGAGAGCTAGTTCTGCCTTAGGACTCAATGCTATAACTACGCCGGCGTGTCCACCAGAAGCAGCATCTTGGCTTCCAGATACACGAAGTGTGAATCGAGTTGGTTCTTTGTTTTGACACGGTGATGTCAAATGAATGACATGGCTCAAAATCGTTTGCAATGGCGCAGGTGCATACATTCTTTGTGTTCTCCCAAATTTTAATCTCCTGACTCCTCCTTGTCTCCTTTTTCTCTTCCCAAGTTTATTTCACTGGATTATCCTCTTTAAATAACATTTCCAAACCCTAATCTTCCCGATTACTGCTTATACTCTTACTACATCTACCACTACGGGATTTGAATCGACAACTGCATCTTTGTGCTAATGTGGTATAGCAACTCGAACTGATGTACGTACGTATGAAGTTCTACATTGTTACTGACTGACTGACTGAGTTATCTAAGAATACCATTAGGGGATGGCTGTGCAATATCACTATTTTATTGAATTCATCCAACTAAGTGGTGTAGAGAACAAGTGTTCGGCATAACATCTGAAAGTACTGAGCTTGAATCCTAATGTGGTTCTAGATATCCACTGCTGAATAGTTCCTTACTAGGATAAAACAGCTATCCAGTGCTTCTTTGTTTTCACTGATTCTCTAATCAAAATCACTTCATAATATCAACCATGAAAGATCTTATACAGTGTGTTGACAAGATATAACACAGAAATGGACGGTATTTTTGTTTCCAACTCTTGTATTATTCATATTTCTTCATTTTAGTGCGAATGCATTTCATCACTGTCATTATACGTCTTTGTTTCTTTAAGTATTGTTTACACAATAGTAGTGTTTGTTCACTGTCTGTCAGTATAACTCATTTGTTTATTAATGTTTTACTAGAAATAGTAGTTATTCACTTGTTTTCCTGTTCAGTTAACTATTAGTCTGTTTTTATGTTAGTTTCTTTCATTCATAATTATCTTACTTTTCCTAAGAGGGATTACTTGAAAAGAAACGATATAAATTTTCTTTTTTAAAAAAAACGTTCTCTTTGAATACGAGATTTTTTCTCTGGATATTTTATTGTTTTTCTTCGAATTCTTCAGAAATCAACGTAGCATAAGTCTAAATTGTCCTGTAAATCTGTACATTGTTTCGTAATGAAATTCATTTTGTAGAAAGAGAACAAACATTTAAATGTAAAATATTTTATACGAACATGAAAGTAATTGAAATCTCATAGAAATCCGAACAAAATTAATGTCATTCTTTAACAATTTGTTCTTTAAGTCTTTAAATGATTGTTAGTGTAAAGTAATTAAACAAATCTGTATCATCTCTAATTGATGGGAAAATTTAACAATCAACGTAATAATAAATGAATCAAATTAGTGTAGGTATTAGACCAAAAAAAACACATTCAGTTATGTTATACTCGTTGAACTGTATTATGTAACATCTCAAATAATCATGAAATAGCTATATAAAAAGAAATAAATACGTATTAATCAATGTTTTTGTTTATATTTAGTTTATTTTGTATTCTTGTTTTGATTTTAATCATTTCAAGTGTATTCAAATAGATTGAAATTGGATATTTACATTTTATATATAAGGTAGTTTTCTTGTTCAATATTCATTCTTCATAATGTGTTCTGTTGAATAGAAAGATCCACCTAATTTTAATTATGAAATAATAATAATGAGTAGTGTACAGTTGTGCAACTTGTTGTTACGATATTTGAAAAACGTATGAACACAACATTATCAATAATTAAATTGTTAGTTTCAGAACAGTTTGAATCTAAACAAAACGAAAGAAAAGGAAACAACAACAACAACACTATTTACAGAGTAGAATGAATTCATTACATTTCGAAATTTCTCATTGACTAACAATGAATTCGTATTGCAATTAGCAATATTATTACTTTTTCCTTTAAAAACATTGTCGTTTTTCTGTACTCTAGTTAATGAAGCTCAGTTTGAAACAGTACGGAATTAAAATGAAAATTAGTAGAAAGATAAACTACTAAATGATTTAGTAGATAAGATGGGGCGATGTTATAAATGTCAATCAAGTGTCGAAATGAATGAAATAAAATTTTTAAAGAAGAGAGCGTTTGTTTTTTTGTAATGGCTTCACTCAACTGTACGTTATCAGTATTGGGACTTGTGTAGATTGTAATGTTTTCACAACTGAATACACGAATCGATCTGAGCTAGACCACCATTGAAAACCTGGAAGCACTAGATGGCCGCTTCGTCCTAGTATGGGACTCCTCAGCAATGCTCAACAGTGACTAGTTTCAAGGTGAATCTCCTGGAGTTCTTGTGAGTGTCCGTGATCGTTGGAGTCCAATCCACCTCAAATAATGGATAAAGAGTTACGCTAGATCATGAGTCGATTAAAGTTAGACATTAACAGGGTTGGATGCCGCCTCAGTGGTTTAGAGGTTAAGCATTCATACGTGAGACTGAAGGTCCTGGGTTCAAAGAAGTTAGAGGAACAGGTGGTTATTCACTAGTCGCCAAGATACACATTTGGTGAGAGAACTAACAAAATATTTTGACAAAAGTTAGTGCGTGAATAGTTAGGTAAGAAAAAGAGATGAATGTCAAAGTTCGGTGGGAACATAAAAGTAAAGGAAATCTATAAAACGTTTGAGAAATAGGAGTAAACCAATGTTCTTTAATAGCCCACTTTTCTTTAACCTTTATCAGTGAATAAGATAGAAAAAAAAGTTGTGCAGTCGTCTTCTGAGTACGATGGTCAAGTTTCTAAATGTGAATTGTTATAGTTTTAGATGTGTGGACCCGTAAACTATGTAGTATATTCGATGGAATAAATTGGAGAACTTTAAAGGCTTTATTTGAGTCAGTTTGATGTCCTATGTGTGCACAAAGTGACCGATAATTACAGCCTTTATCACCCTTAACTCTCCTTTGCTCAATCAGGCGAAACGATGTTTGAAGATATAGTGATAAACGTGCGTCATTGTACACCCAATATAACTCGTTTAACATTATACACTGATGAACATACATTTATATGGCGACATCAAATAGTCTATTTTTATTTATGGTTTTCATTATTGGTCTAACAACCGCACTCATTTCGCCTACACTGAAGGTATTGTTAGCAGCTTTTATTTACTTTTGTGCTAGTATATCACTGGCAGTGTTATTTTTGAACTGTAAAAGTATCTTCTTAAGAACACTATCAACGGTCTTATTTTTACCTCGTCCACATGTTTTTTGAAGTAAATCATTTTAGCTCGATGGGTCAGTAATTTTACTTATCTTCGTTTATATCTGAGTATTTTAGAACTATAAAAATGAATATTGTCCAACTGACGGTTTTCTAATTTTTCAACTAATAAGTTAGTTGAAAATCAAGCCAAATAATTGATACGAAAAACTAAATTATCGTATTAATTGAATGCCAGTGTAATGTTAAAAATCTAAAATAAAATAATAAGTCATGTAATATCAGAATGGGTTTTTGTGGAGATTTTTAGAAATTTCACAATTTGAAATTGTGAGTCAATTGAAGCCAGAACACCATGGAAAACCAGGAAGCACTGGACGGCCGTTTTGTCCTAGTACGGAACTCCTCAGCAGTGCGCATCCATGATCCCGCACCCCGCGGGATTAACACCGTTGGATGCCGGCTCAGTGATCTAGTGGTTAAGTCATGTAATAGACAATACTACATCACTTTTTTTACGGCAACAATAAGGGGTTTATCATAATTTCTTTATATGTACAAAGATCTGGTCGAAAGTACCTAAAAGCAATTGCCTCGGCAAAGCAGAATATGAAATTATCTACATGTCACGCTAATGGAAACTAATTTCTTATCGAATTGTAATAAATTTGTACCATTTAAGAAGATCTAAATAATTTAACTAAAAGCGTTCTGTAACAAAAATAACAAATACTTTTTCATGTTAATATACTAAGTTTTGAGGTTGTCTTTTGGAGTTGTGCTTGTTTAATCCATAATACTGGATTTATTTTCATTTATATATGTCTTTCATCTATTGTTATATGATCAATTTACTAATGCATTTAGTTTTTACATTATTGTAAATGTATCTGCACAAAATGCATAAACCTCTACTTACTTATAGAAACAACTTATTAATAATATTATTATTCGTATACTGGTCTTATTAAATCCACTCTTACCGTTTGTTTTTTCTCGAAAAAACTTAAGGCATTAAATATTCAAGTACTTGATCCATTAACGGATTTATCTGATCGCATTATATATGATGATGTACGAGAAGAACAATTAAAATGCGTTCAACAATTATTACACTGTTGGGGTGAACAAGTACGATACAGTTGGCTTAGATTAATTAAAATAATTGGAGTTATAAGAGAAAGTTACAAGTAAGTATTTTATTTTTTATCACTATAATCATTGTTGTTGTTCTCATTCGTATTTTGCATTGTACTGTTATGAACATTAATTACTGTTTCATCAAAATGTCAGTGTACGAGTTCCATCTATTATCTATTTGTGTAATAGTCAGATTATTCTTTACTATTTTTATAAGTTGGATAGAAGCTATCGGTATTGAACTTAGTTCACACAATAGTTGACACTCATCAGTATATTGTATCTACAATTGAATGGATATTTTTTGTGGGATTTGAACCCAAAAATACAGCGGAATTTCTGGTTGCCCAATGTAAATAATTACATTACAGCTTGTTATGACTGTTAGTCAATTTTTATGACTGTGTCGGTAATTGTTATGTATAAAGCGCTTATTACTCATATTTGTAGAACGAGGAAGCACTGCAATTCCCACGACACAATGAGAACACCAAGACCAGTACAAATGAAGATTTATTAGCCCCAAAACTTGACGACGACTGTAGTAGAAAATACACTCATTTATATATTGATTGTACACTCACTTTGACTATTAATTAGAATAAAATCACATATATGAAAATTACTTAGAGTTAGGACAAACCATATGATGCTTGTCATACTGTGCATAGTTCATGTTAATTTAATACAAGAATATGTTATCTTTAATAAACATCACACTCAAATAAATTAATATTATACCGAATAATATATCACACTGAAGAACAGAAACAAATACTACACTAAGTAATTATCGCATTGAATTAAACTTTCATCAGTAAAAGAGATTATATAATATAATTAATAATTATTTAATGATTATATAATGTACTTATATATATATTCAGGTGATAGCTGTCTATATATATCGACCTAACATATTTCGCTTATAGTTCTTTTACATGTATTGAAATTTGATAAGATCCTTGTCATTCATAAATTTAACCAAAGCAGGAACAGAAAACGTAACACCAATAAAATGAATGAATTCATTTTATAGATTCTCTTCAGCTGCCTGCAACCTAAACACAATAGTAATAATTATTTATTGTCAATCTACATACTTCATGTTATTCATAAGCATTATTGGAATAACGATAAGTATGGAAGAATAAAAAAAGTAGCAAAATGGATGAATATTGGTATTTTATGTGTATCAGTTTAAGTTGCCAGATTGCATCATTACAGCGAAATGGACTTACCATGATAAGTACTAGAACAGTTGAATAGATAATCGTATCAGAATAATATAAATGATTAGTCATAGATAATATTGCTCAAGAAGTATGAATTTGTGGAATAAATAATATAAGTATTTTAGGACAACAGTGATCAGTTCATCAGGGTCATTGCAATCAATTTTAAGCTAGATAATCTAAAGTCTTTAAACATCGATTACGACAATCACACCGATTTCTACTTGATATTCTACACGTACCTTTTATGGGTCAGTCTGATAGTTCCTAAATTCATGGATAGATGCCACATCCTTGTTCGATCATTCATAACTTTCTTTAAACCTACTCTATCATTTGCCAACATCCCCTGTCACGGTAGGTGGTGATCGAACATGCGTGATATATTTCCAAACGATCTTGGTCGATAAACATTTACTATCTCATCAGTTTGATGTTTAAATGGTTTACGGATATTTATTTAACTAATGAAGACAGTTTTCATCATAGATCAACCTAAATAAAAATTTGCCGGCTTTTTATTTGGTTAGTTGTATTGTATAATTCTTATCTGTTCCTCTTGGTTTATGATCCCGCACTGTAGTTTTATCTCATCTTTATCTATAGTTAATTCATTTTGAATATTTTTATCCCCAAATGTGCCATTCGTCCTTAATTCGGGCTATTTGCAGCTAATCGAAAACTTCTAAATTAAAACAATTACATCGGCTTCATTTTACAATGCTTGTTACTTTTGTTGTATTCACAATTGTCAAATGATTAATTTGATTTTGTTAAGTTTTATGTTGTTTACAGAGACTTCTCATTATTTCATTAACTTTTCTATTAAAGACCGTTATCTATCATTTGACTATTGATAAAATCATTTGATCTATTTGAAAAGTAAATACAACCTTAAAATAATATATTCTTCAAAATAGTTGTCATGTTTAAAGTGTTAACTGATTTGGCAAGTACAGATCTAAGTATTTGACCTTAAGATACATTTGTCTGTGTGAAGCGACTAATTCACTACCCAGCTGATTAAAACGAAACTATTGGATTTGTATTTAAATATTGGATGATTTACTCACTAGGCCACATGTATGATTTTAGGATTGTGTTATGATCTTTATATTGCTCGTTAGGGATAAAATGTGAGTTTATTGCGAGGTACCCTAAGTACACGAACGGATCTAATGTAACTATTTCGGTCAAAACGTACTTCAGTTGTCGGAAAGACAAGCAAACCAAAAGAGAGATGGTTGTGAAGAAAAAGACACTTAAATACGTAAACATCACATTATATACATTTTGCTGTACAAGATAAAACTAACGACAAAAAATGGTACGTGTTACGCGACATTTCCACAGCATAGCGCTAACAGTGTGACATCGAGGTGTGATGAGAAAGTTATAACAATAATTGTTGTTTTGGTAACTTCAATAGTTTCGTAATTGTATTCATGTGGGTAAAATCTTACAGATTTATTGTTTAATATTTTTATATTCCAACTAAGTATTTAGTGTAAATGTGAAAGGTTTGGTTTTTCTCATTATTGATATTAAGCGCTGCATTTGATTAATCACCATAAACATATACCCATTCTGAGTGAATCGCCTTTAATCGGTAGCTATCGGTTACTTACAACCGACAAGTCCTGAGATGGACGAAACACAAGTCTTGAATCCCACTACTAGTTATGATTCAACTTTACTTAGTAATTGATTTTTCAAATGAATTTTTAGCCATTAACTAATGATTGTTTTCCCTGCTTTTGTGCAATTTTCTTTATCAACTATGCAGAATAGACTTGATCCAGACATCATTTAAATGCTTCAAATTGATTGTTACAGATTATTTATCCACTTTGCCGTCGGATTGCTATTTAGCGTGTGTTGAAACTGCAGCAAGTTTTGGACATCAAAAACAAGACTTAAATATTGCTTTATCAGCTATTGGGTCCTTAGTAAGTGTTATTCTTTTGAAATATTTCTTAATTTATCTTTTTGAAACAATATGAATAAAATTCAGCTTTTATGTTATATTACGCTGGTACGGCTGAGGGTGGGGAGAGTCAATTCCCCCTTTCGGAACGTTGTCACATGGCCACACGTATACATCCACTGACAGCGAAGTCCTACTCACTGCCTTCTCCTAGCATCACTGTTGTTTACGAAATTGCGAGAACAAAAGGCAAATGTTCTGTGTTTTAACCTGGTTGATGGATATAACGGATCCATCTAAGGGATTGAGAAAACCCTGATTCGAAACCAATGGTGCAGATGAGCTCCAGGATCCTAAGAGAACATATGGCTCGTGAACTTATTGTTGATCACTGCCTCTCGTAATGTTTATTCCCTGCTTTGTGTTTTAGACCTTTAGGTCAAAGGCTTCAGGTATGGTCGCCTAACAATGTGTTGATTAGAGTTTTGTATAAATTTTACAATATAATGCTACTGATCTTTTGGTCAGCAGACAGTTTTAATGAAAGAGGACTTTTTATATGAAGTGAATGATTTGTTTAGATGTATTATACCATCAAATTCTATGAAAAATAATGTGAAGGCTTGAATTTGAACTTACGCGAAATACTTTTTCCGATACAGTATCTATACTTGCTGTATGTGCTTCTAACCAGTTTTATCATTGCCTTATTGATTTTCAAAGTAGTGTACTATTTTGAGCGTATTCATATCATGTGTATAATGTGAACTCCTAGTTGTTGACCTCAATATATTACACCTTTTGTATTCAATCATTGTTAAACATTCTGTTTCCCGGTGGTCAGAGTCCTTTTACTGGTTCCTGTGATTAAATAACCATTTTAAAAATTACGGTTTAAACGAACTTCACTATTGATCAACTGAATTATGCTAACTGTCTGTAATCTGACCTATTATTTATTTTGACACATAAATATTGGTACAAAGGAGCACCAGATACACATGCACCACACAAGTCACTTGGTTTGTGTGTGGTCTGTGATAATGTCCGGGTGTCCATACAGAAGCAGGTCGTTTTCTTAGGGAGTCACACCCGGAGCCTTCAGCCTAAAGATTTGGTCCATAAGATAGTGGAGCAACAACAGGAGATGCAGTCTCATGGTAGCCGGTGACCAATAATTGGTTCATACACCATTTGTTCCCTCAGGATCCTGGAGACCATGTGCACCATTGGTTAAAATCAGGGTCTACTAACCCGGTTAAAACACTGGACATCCGCTTTTCGTCATCTCATTTTCGTAAACAACAGTAATGCCATGAGAAGGCTGTGAGTAGGAATTCACTAGCAGTTTTTGTTTATGCGTAGCCATGTGAGAGTATTCCGGGAAGGAGAGCTAACTCCTACCCTTGGACGTACTAGGGCATTTGGAGGCATACATACTGTATATTGAAGTATCCACTCCTTATAAATATACCAAAATTTTCTGTATTTTGTTTAACTGTGATCAAATGGAATTCATAATTTGTATTAAGAAGTAAAGTATATTTTTTAAGAAATTTTGCTTACAGGAGCTATACGGTGTTATTTTCATGGAGCTTATTGTAATAAATATATTTTCTATACTATCCTAGATGTGTAATATAAGCGGAATTCATAGGAAGTGAAGCTAATATTAATAAGTAAAAAAATCATTGAATAAATAGCTTACATCACAACTATTGAAAATTAAAAGACGCGAAACAACTGTTTCGCTCCAGTTTGTGACCACGGCAATGGTCATCCAACACGCCACCAGGGATCATATCCTGGGACTTTAGGCATCAAATCGGCGCTTAACCTTCAGATAACTGGGTCAAAATATAATCGTTTACATGTCTAGCTTTCTGTTCGAGATTTTGGTCAACCGACCTCCCATACCATTCGTATGTGACTGTCTTACACTCGACATAGTGGAGCTCCACTGATTATGGCATTTCATCAGTAATCATGTAATTTCCTCTCGAATTTAGTTACTAGTGAACATGTGATTATTATTAGTATAAGAGGTTTGTGGAAATTTCATTTTTGTCACAAAATGTTTTTAGTTAAACAATCATTGAATTTCTATTTCGTCCTACCAGCCTCGATACCAGTGTTAATAAATAAATCATTAAACTGATCCAAAATCATATGATGTATAAAAGACTTTAGTTCAAATACATATCTACTAGATGAAATATTTCGATATAATTTTCCAAGTGGATAAATGATGGACATTGTCAGTAAAAATAGGAATTAAATTAGAAATGATCATTTAATAACGATATTGATTAAAATAAAGTTATTAAAAAGAAGACTTTTCCTCACTACAATAGTTTCTATAAAGTTATTATCTAAAACTTTGTCTTATCATTTTCTCTCTTTACGTTGTGGTATGCTTTTGTTTCAGCTTCATTTAGCTGATTTTTTTGTGGAACAAAAAAATATCCCACTTGTAGTATCAGATTCAATTAGTTCTTCAATTGATTTAAAAGAATTATGGATTTGTGTATTTCATAAATTGGCTGATTTGTGCTTAGATCGTAGACCAGCAATTCGAAAATCTGCATGTCAAACATTATTTAATACAATTGAATGTCATAGTGAACAATTTGATGAAGATACATGGTCTAATTTGCTATGGAAAGTTAGTTTATATGTATATAGGTGTTTGTTTTATCGAATCAAATCACTTTTAGGAATAATTTTTTCTCATCTCGCGTTCTGTTTTATGAAGCATCTTGATGAGTCCTAAAAAATAAAGTCTTTCAGCTGTTTTGTCATTTCACGTATTAACACTTCCACATTGTTACAGTGCTGCCTATGTACAATTTTAGAACAAATTAGCGTAACATTCAAATTACAAACCAGAATTTCTCAAGCATATACTTCTTAATATATTGTTGGATTATCGTGAAGCAGTGACTATCCTTATGGATTACAGAAATTTAATCTCACATAGTCACATATGCGCTCAAGGAAATTCGTGTGTGAGGCAGCATTCATTGATTATTGTAGACGGTTTATTTCAATGTAGATAAGAATACAAATGTCCTGTGTTTATTAGTCAAACTGATTATATTTGTTTGTCTGATTTTCTGTTAAATGTTTACTGAAATAAAGTGTATAGACCAGTCAGATAATATTTTTTTTGAACGATTCATACAAAACAGAAGTTAAACATATTGTAATTGTCTGCTTATAAAATTATTTGTTGTTTTTTAGAGTAGCTTTTATCTTTCGTCGATTTTCGTTTAATGAATTGTCATACTTTTGATCTTTTTACAATTGATGAGTTTTCAAAACTTAAAAAACCCGTACTGTTTAGGATTTTCGGTTGTTATGCTCCCATAGTATTGTTATATAGTATGACATACCTTTACGAGCTAGGGTAATTTTACATTGGTTTTCTTGAGAACCGGACACCATCCAGATTTTCATGTGACAATCCAAACAATACAGCTCAATTCCACTTTCAGGAAAACCAGACACCATCCAGGCTTAAACTTTATAACCCGAGCGGTACTGCTAAACCCCGCTTCATAAGAGAACCAGACACTATATAGGCTTTAACATTACATTCCTGTGGTGTGGACCATACATATACATATATACATCATATGTATAATTATTTCGATCATTGATTGCGTTAATCAATTATGCGCAGCATGAACATACCAACGTTGACCTATTCCGCTTACACGACAGTCAAACTCATTAATGTTAGCGATGATGGTATGCCTTACAATGTCCTAATGACAATGGCCGCTGAGAACACTGAAAAGCAGCTACTAGTATGAGTGAAATCGGTTAACCAGCAAAACAACTTTTGTGTATGAACAGATAGCAAAACTTGCCAGAGTAAGCCGGACAATCCACAATATCAATAGCTAACCTCCAGTCTCATATGAAACGTTCAGCTCCAAACAGCAATATATAGGCTATATGTAGGGTAGTAAACGAAATAACCCAGCCTGAAGCGTTAGGGCTTAAAAACTTCTTGAAATCCATTGTCTCGTGTCGAAATACAATTACAAGACCACCAATATCGTTTTTATCGTATTTGCTAAATTTTCATTTTTCCCACTTTTCAGACCCTGAGTTGGGGGTAATATCCCTTAACGTAGTATTGAATTCATGCTTATTTTGTGTACGAAACACTTCGGTGGGTATTGGGCTTCCAATATGTTTTTTTGAAATCGAATGCCGGTACTGGTGTTGTTGTCTCAAAAAAATATTCCACTGAATACGAAAGTAGAATGAAGCATTCTACACTTTACTTCATTTATCTCAATACACTATTTTTCGCAATAATATTGAGATATTTTAGATAGATATTAACTACAAAGAAGTACAATATAGTATTACCACTCACATGATACTCCTGATTTCTGGAGACAATAACGTAATTATTTCGTAAATTTTCTCGTTTAAATATATTTAATGGTTTAAGAAAACCGCTATTATTGGAGTAAAATAACTATACCTTCAATAAAAAACTGCTTTATATTTAGCGTTAGATTGATACCAAACTGGTTCTTATATGAGTCAGGACTTTATTGATTTTAGATTAATTAATCAGTCACGGTCAACGCAGAAGCTGATACATACATACTTCGGCCATATTATACCAGTGCAGCGATCTGAGATTATGAAGAAAGTACTGGATTAGTAGATGGAGTAGAAAAGATTAGGCAAGGACAGAGTAATTCGACGACAAAGAATGACTTTGTAGAATGAAAATTATCCGCATGTAAGATGAAGACTGAATACATCTGCATCATTTTGACCAATCCTGAGCCATGTAATCCACCTTGTCCTACTATTGGTCATGTAAGTTGTGAGGGCCCCAATCTGCTAGTCTGTGCATAATGGATTGTTCGCTATTTTTCGTTTCTTTGTTTCACTAATTATCTCAATACACACCCACTGATATGGTTCGATAATTCAACTACTCGTTTTTCAACATTTTCATTATGAATTCCAATTTACCAATGAGATTTATTATCGTTTGTACAGAAAATCATATGTAACTGTTTTATATTATTATTCTACTTGTTACCCTCTCATTCTCTTAGATATTGTTCCCTTTGTTATCGAAGGTGCATAATTTATATCAAAGTGCACCTGTTGAAAAAGTTGGCGATAGACCAAATAGTTTATTAATTCATCATAGTCGTGATACTGCATCAAAACAATGGGCTGAAACAGTTGTATTAACTTTAACTGGTGTATCACATTGTTTTATATCAAAACAATCTCATTTGTTAACACTTAGTAAGTTCTCTGTATTCTTCGGCTTCTTTTCGTTTCTGTTCGTCTATTAAAGTTTACATTGTACTTAAACTGAATACGTTTTTGTTACTGGTATAGATTATGGAATTACTCGCTGGATCCAAAGTTATCTAATGTTTATTTATGTGATAGACAGTTATACAGATTACTCCAATGACTTCTTGAATAAGGATACAACAACTACTTTTCATCCATGTGCCAACTACTCTAAAACACACGTTATGCAATGAAGGTGTATTGGTAAACATACTAGAACCAATAAATTACATGTATATTGATTAAATTCATTGGGTATTAGTTACAGAAATAAATAATAAACTGAACAATTATCATGTGAATGCAAGATTATAATAAATAAAATTTTCACACAAAATTAATTTATTCTGCAAGTTAACAAACGGAAATCCCTCTTAATTTAATATATCAATATTACAAGTGGTTTCTTCATCAAAATGTTGTTTTTTTCTATTTCGGGGATTTCACATACTTAACAGTTTTTACTTAGATCGATGTCATAAATGGATCAATGTTAGACCACCTTAGAAAACCTGGAAGCACACGACGGTCGTTTTGTCTTTATATGGAACTCCTCAGCAATGCACATTCACGATCTCGATAGTTTTTATTTAGTTGAAATAAGTGCTAACGAACATAGATCTAGTGTACATTCTGTTGTTTTCTGGTCATTTAAGGTAGTTTCATTCAAGTTTATTTTCTGTTTCTTACTATACATTATTCTTATGCTTCATTCTTTGTTCTTTATTGTTTGAATCGTTTAGTTCTAGTACATTGAAAATGCATGATGATAATACAGATTATAAGCACGTAAATATCAATCAAACTGATTGTATGCGTTATTTTTCAAAATAGTAGCTTGTCTATGTAGTTTTTACAGATCATGTATAATTACTATTCTAATGAACGATACTAATTGTAATAAACGAAGTCTTCTTTGTGCAAAATTACACAGTGAAATATATATATATATATATATATCGCTTGCACATCTTCCTTGAATTGTCCTTTACATAGTGTATCATTCTTGCAATCCTGCTATTATTCAGATTGCTCTCTGCTTTCTTTCCTCTTCTCTTTCCTTCAATCTTTTGATGGTAAGCAATTCACTTTCATTTCGTACCATATACGTAGCTCACACCATATTACTACATAATCTATGGACAATATGATGAAACAGGTATATAAAATGTTTTGTAATTTTCAGTAATTGCTTGTTTGAACAATAATCTTTGATAGCAATCATCATTCATAGATATTAAATTGTTGTCATTTCATTTTTCGGTAGACATTTGACTAAGAATAATACATATTATATTCGTAATTCCTTTTTTGTTCATGCAGAACATTTTGACAGTAACATCTTAATAATAATAATAATGCATATTAACCGACTGTTTCATTGTCAACTCGAACTGATGTACTTACGTACGTACGTACGAAGTTCTACGTTGTTACTGACTGACTATAACAAATGTTTGAAAGCATGATAAAACAAATATATTTAGTTGAATAGTGTTTGTTTTAAGCTCATCCGATAAATAAAAAAGAATTAAATTAGTCAAAGTGATATATGGCATATTTTATTCATGGCCTAAAAACATTAATATGATGAAACGTGTTGTTATTTCTAATTTTTTTTTTTATTTTTCAATTTTCACTTTAATGATTAATTGTTCTAATGAAAATCTGTTGAAATTTATGTTTCGTTTATATTTCAGGGGATCTTTTTTTTTCATAAAAAAAAGATCTCTCTTTTCAAAATTATAATAATTAAATCACGAATTGCTTTTGATATTCCATATTGTCTCATTAGTATTTATACACTTCTTTCTCTGTAATATTATCGAATGATTATCTGCCTACATTTATTAGTTTTTCACGATTTTTGCATTAAATGCCTTAAATATTCAACATTCACTGTACAAGTTTCATTATCCTAGTTAACTCAAATCACTCAATTATTAATGAATTGTCAGTATATGGTTGTGGAGATTGTTGACGCGCACTGATGAAAAGTTTGGGATGAAACAGCTATCCAGTGCTTCTTAATATTTAATGATAGTCGGTTCATGATCTCAATGAACGAAATGGTTGATTAGGGAACAAAACGTTTGCACTCTGAATAGTTAACCTAATGTTATCCATTTTACGATTGTTTATAGTAATTTGTTAAAGAAATCTCGAGGAGTTCAATTGGCATAGGTTTCAGATAGTTACATGAAGTGATTGATATGGATGCTTTACGGTTCAGTTTGCTAATTTTGATAAATTATTTAATGTCGTGCTGAGTGTTTTTTCTTTCACAGAAAAAAACGATAACATTTTAATTTTAATTAAAACGCGATTTTAAAAAAAGCAAACTCATTTTGCTATCATTTTGATTAATTTCAAAAAGGTGATTTTATAAAATGTTGGCAGATATTACTTGATTATTTGAAAGTGACTGCTTATATGGATAGTGGAGAAATTTCATTAGCTTCATTAAATTGTATGCAAATTTTACTTGATATACAACTCCCTTCTTATCCTACACCATCCTCATCTTCATCTACAACACCATTGCTAACATCAAAATTGATTTGGTCTGCCTATTGGGAAACTTGGTTACAAATTGGAAAACGAGCGATAGCGTTTGCTCAGTTTAATAATAGTGATAACACTTTTCCACTTACTACAAATTTATCTGTAAACTCTTCTGATTCTCAATATATTAGTGACAACAGTAATAGAATTGTAACGGTTAATGAAAGTGGTGAAAAGGTTAGTTTGTAGATTATTTATGATGATTCGATTGTTGTTTCACATATACATGTATTGTAAAATATAAGAATATTCTGTATTCCATAGTAAACTGGAAATAGTTTATGTGGTCTAGTTTTATTTATTTGATCGCTTCCTTAAGCATCAGGTACATACATGTACAATTAATTAATCTTTTACGACGTACATTCACTCATCGGGATAAATGTGTCAAGTTTCTTCTGTTGCATTTATATATACAGGCCCGAGACTAAACGTTTAATAATGAAAGTTTAGTTTTTCTAAGAACTAATGAGCAGTATTGCTGTCAGATATGTATATCGGCAAAGAGTTGACCTAAATTAAACATAATTTTGGTCGTTAGTTTAACATCAACATGTTAGAACTATAAAAGTCGGGACTGGTATTTCGTTTTAATTTACAATATATTATTAATAAATACCGCTGATCTCACACCGAATCCAGTTGGGAATTCTCAGGTTTCTATGTTAGAATAGTAACTATTTAAAAACTTGGAATTCACTGGTCTACATTTTCGTGTTCAGTTTTTTTTCTTATCATTATACAGCACGTCATCTGATATCATCGATAGACATTCACTCAACTTACTACTGATTGGTTGGTCTAATAAACAGTAAACACAGCTGTTGAGCAAAACTTCAAGACATCTACTTTGAATATGACTGTCTATAAATAAATAATTATTTTCGTGCTTATGCGTATTTTTGCCACTTCATGTAAATAGAATGTTAAAAAAAACTATAGTCAAGCTTTCATTTGCGTTACCTCGATCATTACATTTTCCACGTAACTGAAGTAATAAAAACTGATTATTCCTAAATATTTACACAATTCAGTTTTTATACTTTTAGTTGTCTAAATCAGTGCTAATTCGAAACAGTAACACGCGTTCCCTTGATGTTTATACAATCAAATGCTAGAAAAAACTATATCATAAGCAGAAATGAAGGCAATATCGAAGTGATCCGCACAGGATGCACCAAATACGAATAACAGACTAAACATCAACGGAATGATTCAAACAACCAATATAAAAATGAATTAATTGTATCACTTCTTAAACTTATCTACATTAAAAATTGTTTTGCACAGAAATGTTGAAAAAGCAAACCATTTTTAACATTATACGAAACTTTACTAAAGTATAATCTATCCATAATTATTTGTTTTGTTTTTGCTTTTTCTTCATATCATTTCTTATCTTCAAGATTTGTTATCCTCCATTTATATACTTGCCAAGTATATCATTTATCACATTATACTTTGATTTATTCATACCAATATTTAATTATATTAAAGAAGATTTTCATCTGAAAGATTTCGATCGATTAGCTGAATTATTACAAATTGGTGTATTAATTCCATTGTATATTAATTATTTATTTCCAACCGTTTCAACTACAACTATCATGACTACATTATTATCAACAACACCTTCAATGATAATTGATGATGGTGCATTGAATTCGTTACAAGAGGCTGTATTACGTTGTTTAAATTGTCTTGTACAGGTGAAGTTAATGTCCCTTTTTTTTGCTTACGTTTCATTAATATGTGTATTTCTCGGTTTATTAACATAATATTCCTCGAAAATTTTACCTCTTCATTTCAATCCAAGTTTTTTTCCTGTGAGCAGTTCATTTTTACTTTCATTGAAGACATATCTTCTCCTCCTTGATTTGTTAATCAATACCGAATAGCGACAATATTTTGAGCAGCTTCATATTATACTGACACTAATATATTTCATAGTTTCTTATTTTTTTACATCAAAAAAGTGAATAAATAACAGTTGATGTAATTGGATAATAATTTTAACGGAATTCAGTCGGTTGTAGACGTTTTGCATGTCATATCTTTGAGGCAAGTAAACCAGAATCTAGACTCCAATCCTTTAACATAGTTGAATGTCTTAGCAACAGGTGGTTTATATTTAATGCGTTTACATATTTTTCATAGCCGGTTAGAAACATAAGAATGAAGTTTTGTGTTTGAAGTAACTAGTGTTCACTGTGGTGTTCAAACGTCCATCATCCAGCTCTACAGTGTGAATCACCAACACTGAGCTATCGGGACCACTACTGACTTTATGCTTTACATATTGACCACTGATTAATCGCTGAATAGTGACTAATGTCATGTACATTTGACCCTTCACTACTAATTCGATTCTGTTCCATTATATTGTATCTGACTACTAACGAAAGTTACTTGCATAAACTAAACTTTTCTTTTTAATGGTTGGAAGTAATTATCAGGAGACATTGGATGGAATCTATTTTTATCTGTCAACAAAGAGAATGGCCTATAATATTTTTTCACGTTAGTGACATATAATCTTAAATATATATCAAGAGATGAACAATCATATCACAATTAACAGAGATAGACATTTTATTCTTACTTATTCTTATTTGTCTTTTTATTTATGGTTTATTATTCATATAACTGAAAATTTATTGATAATCATAAAACCATAAGCACATTTGAAGAAAATTAACACTTTCGGAATTCTAAATGGACTTAACTGATATGAGTCAATAAAATGAATAGTGTGTACTGATTTCTATTTGTTTGTCCGTCAATGAGATTGTAATTGATGTCCCAACGTTTTTGAATTGCTAATTACCAGTGCCAGTACAAATTCGGTCAATATTTCCGAACAGTAGATAATTAAATTGTGGCTCTAATATTTCATTCGGTTATTTATAAGTGTTTATTATGGTCAGTTATCCATGAAAACCTGATGCTATCGTTAATTATTCATAAATAGTTCCGATACTGTTTTTACTGTCTATCATTGATTATGTTACAAGATCATATGTAATGTGAATATATACTCAAAGTTGACCAGAAGCTTAGTTGTATTTATTTTTTCTGGTCCATTAATACAAAGGATACCTGTGCTATTCGTTCCGATGATATGATTAATATGATAACTAGAACAACACATATAAGCGAACAATTGTTTTCAATTAGATCGTCATCAGGCTTTACTCTAATATACATGAATATTTATACGAAAATTTTAAACCAATCAAGGCAATATGAGTCAATAATCACAATGAAATAGAATAAGTCTCTACACATAATGGGTAAAAATACAAGTTTATAGTAGGAAGACAAGTGAACTGATAATAGTGAGAAGAATAAAATACAACAACAAAACTCTTATCAATAGTTAAATGTTGGAAATAGAAGGTCAAACAAACATGGGTAAATAGACTAGGAATAGTAATCACAAAACATTAAAATCATTACGTAATAAGAGGTGTGTAAATAATTAGATAGTGAAGAATACAAACGGAAAGAGGCGGAAAATTACAAGCAAATACTAGATGTGAAAATAAGGTTAATGATAACACAAATAGAATAAAATAAATAATGATAATAATAAAACTTTAAAAAAATTGTTAGTTAAGTTATAACTGGCCATGGAAGGGATAGGGGGGTTACGTATTTCTTCGGTACACATAAATTGGGGTTATATGTACGAATTCCAATGGCTTTAGCTATATATAGGAGACGGGAACGGACTCCGTCGGCAAATGATGGAGGTATACGATAGATTACTCGAAATACTTCCGATTTATCTACAGCATGACCGCTATCAATAAGATGTTATAAGATAGAACTGCGAATTGTTTTTCTCTGGCCCTTTATGTACCAAGTTGGTAGATGTTCACTCATTCGTTAGTTAAGTTGCCTGGTAGTACGCCCTATAGAGCTATCTCCACAGGAGCAGCTGAATTTGTAAATGCACATAGAAGAGGCCAACTCAGGTAACTTATCCTTCGTTTGAGTAGACATATGATAACTGTTTTTGACTACCAAGTTAGTTAAATAAATAATATACTTAGTGAAACAGATTCATCACTCTTCAATAGTTACTTTCTGTAAGAAAACTGTTAATATTTCAATTAGAAACTATGACGTAATAAAATATGGAATATATAACACTATGGTTAGCCAACACGAAACGTTTGGCAGTATATCATCAATCTGTTTTGTATTATAACGCATTGACAAAGCATAAGTTTTATGTTCTAGACTTAGGGGTTCCTTATTTCTCTGAAAGGTAGTAAAATTACGCGGGTGATAAGATTAAACTAAACGAAAAGGGTTTCGAATCTGCAATTTATTGAGAGCTTAATCATTTAACCAATAAACCACCATAGTATGTAATTCAATCAGGTTTCAAAATACTATTGAATTCCTACCTACTGTAAACATTGAACAATTCTGGGTTGAATTTTATTTATGATTAAAAATGAATACTTCCTATCGGTTAATAAATCCATTCATTCTTAGTAGTTCTGTAATTAATATCTGTCAATTATTAAGATTTTATTTAAATAACAGTTAACGATACTCATTATCTACTTTCTCTTCCTACTCGAATTATCTTTCCTTAGATTTTATGGGCTACCAAATTATCTCTGATTAGCTTTAATAAAACTTCAATGAAAGAAGAGTTTGTAATGAGTTTAAACTTTTATGCCTAAATTCTCTTTCTTTATAAGCGAACGTGCTCTTTATTTGATTTTCAATACATTGACCTAATTTTCTTTTTTTCCTACAGAATTTTGGTTCTGATCAAAATAAGGACGAAAATAGTAATAATAAGAATAATAGTAACATAACTAACAGTCGTTCCTCTTCAATACTTCCACGTGTATTACAATTGCTGCTCACTATAGCTGGTTATGCTGTCCGAATTCCTAAACCACATCATTCGGACAATCATCGAGTGAGTTTTTTGGTTATTACAACACCTAGAGCTTAACGGATGATCACATTTTGCAAATAATGTTAATCATTTTCCCTTCCGTTTTATATTTCATTCGTATTTTATATGGATAGTAAGTTTATTATTTGAATACATTATAAGTCGTCCAACTGTTGATTAGGATTAATACACTTTTATCTGATTTAAATAATCCAGTTGTATAGGTTGTTCGGTTACTGTAGAATTATTCAACATCTTTTATTCCATTGTAGTTTTACAATGATTGATAACAATTCTTTATAGTTACAACCTAGGTGATATTTCAGCATATTCATCTGTTCTCTTAACTTTTCTACATCGATTTGGTAAAAAAAACACCTTTAGATTCTAAAAATTTTAAGTCAAGCATATTTATTTCCTTGTTTTTTGTATAATTTAAATCAATCTTTTGTTGGTTTATGCATCAGTTTTCTACATATTGTGTTCGTCATTAATAAATATCATTAAAATGTGTTTCATTGACCTTATGTACTAACACAATATTCAAAACATTTATTATCATAAGCTGATTTCAAAAGCATTTTCATCTTAATATATATATGATTATACAGAGTTTAAATACAAGTCAGATGTATTGTTCATTGAAGTTTCTTTAAAACTTTTGATTTTTCATAATCTCTGTCAATTACTCATGGAACATTCACTGATCAATATATTTGAAGTGTCCCATTAATCTTTCGTATTTAAAATTAGGTCGAATTTCTTCAGACAGAAATTTTAACTGCTTACTATTTTGGTATTTTCCAAAGCATTCGGTTTTTAAAAAACCAAATTACAATAATTTATGCTGTTCAAAATCATTGGAAAGAAATAAAACTGGCAGCCTAGTACTGTTAGCATCGCTTAACGCTATGCTTCACTATTCAATAAACAATGTTCTGTTTGATTACGTTGCCATATATTAGAATAATACTAATGTTTCGAAGTTGAATAGTTAATAGGTTAGATGTTCTACTTTATTCAAGATGATCTAATCTTTATCAAAGTAGGTTAATGAATATTATCGATATTGATTAATTTCTTGATATATTTCTTGTTCTTCTACCTTTTTACATTTGTTTGTTAATAGCTTGATGTTGTTCCGCTCAATTATATTGTATTTGCTGAAAAATCTTTATTAATCGCTGTGGATTTATATCAAACAACTGTTACATGGCCTGAAATGTGCAGTGTTGAAATACTTGACTCCATAATCAAAGTATGTTTCTATCATTAGTTTTTGGATTAGTAGGTTTCTAGATGTTTCATATAATGAAATTGAATATCGAATGTTTATCATGTAAATTAAGACATCAATGTTTAAATGGGAATTATCTGTCAGTATCATGTAAATGTTTTTTTTTCGAGCAGATTTTTCAGTATTATTATTCAATGAAGTACATTTTTTATTACCGCTAAAATCACATGTTGTTGTTATCTTTTAATGATAATTCACAGAAAAACGTTAACTAATACGACATATGTTCATTTTCTTATAAACATCTTTGAATTTTCAACATTTATTTATCTCATTTTGATTTGCATAGTTGTTTGAGCATATGTTATTTGTTTTTTGTCTTTCACTTCTTAAGTTAGACATTTATTGACAAGTTAAAAGCAATTGAGATCGGTTTAGTCCCTAGTATGAGAGTCTTCAGCAGTGTACATCCAGCCTTGTGTATGGACGCATAATTTCTAGATCTCTGAGCTGAAATTCAATGGCATATATGTCTAACCTCGATCGATTTACTATAGTGCGAGACAATTTATCATTCCCTTCAATAGATTACTGACTGACACATCAATTTTCATTTCTACTAATCACAGCTCTTCGCTAGAATCCTAGGATTACCGCTTAAAATTAAGACATGATAATTATCAATATAGAGTTTTGTGGAAAATACTAAGTTTTAGTGTTATCATGAATGCAGCTACTTTTCTTTAGAATATATTGTCGTCAAAAAAGAAGAAAGGAAATTACTAGAAATGTTTATACTACACTGATATCATTACACACATGGATTTACTGTTATGGATTATTATAATAATTAATAAGGTTTACCTGAGCTTTGAAGAATATTAACCGGTCAATATCAGCTTATTTGGTCAGTGTTGAACACTAGAATCTCGTTATTAAAATCTCTTTCTCTGTGCTTGTTTATTTCATCTATCGTTGTGCATTTGTAATCTGTCGTGATAAATTTAAAAGATCTGAATTTATTTTTGGTCCAAATCGTACGTGTTTTATTTCTAGTACATTTGGTTTTATCTATCATTCTATTCTTTTCATATTGTTTGCTCTGGTAATCACGGTTAAGGTAGGGTGTGGAATAAACGGTATGGAAGAGTGAAAACCTTAGGTTAATAATTAACTCATTTTTACCTACTGTATGTAAACTCTTGTACTACTGGACAACAAAAGTGAGATGTATCTCTCAAATAAGCTGATGATTATTTTAAAAAATAAAAGATAGTTGAGCAGTGCAATGCGAAAAATAAACGGATAAGAATACTTCATAATTTTAAAATACCATATTTAAAAACTTCATTCATTAATTGAGTTTGTCTCACATCTATCAAAAATGTGAAAAACGAATCGTAGGACGGTCTTCACTGTTCTCTATTCTGAGCTATGCCTTATAATGTTTCAAGCTATTGAGTTACGTTGTCTCTAGGATCCCAACCACGGAGTCTTGATGGGCGAACAAATCTCAGTTCTATACAACTTTATTTCATATCACGGGCCTATATGACAAACGTTTGGGAAGGGATTGATAAGTAATTTTAGAGAGACTGTTCTATCCGCTCCGCTTAGCTACCTACTCAAACAATTCGCACAATAATATTAAACTCAAGTTTTCACTTGTTTCTCTTCATACATGTATATATTCTTCATTTCTGAATTAGATGCTAAATAACTTAAGGTTACGGATTAGAAACACTAGACTCAAACTCGACTGTTCCTGACTCGTATTAAAAGAATGATTGCAAGTTTTCGGATCCTTAGATGTTCCTATAGTTCACTAACTAATAAATTTAGGTATTATTGATCTATTTATGAATATATATACCATCGATCTTTTCGTTAAGTTGAGAAGATTAATGTTCAACTCTGTACCGTATTTCTTTTTCTATGTTTTAATAGCAAATACGATGTATTGTAATAATATTGATTGTACAGTACTAGAATACAAAAAAATTCTTAACATGATTTTGTTGTTATTATTATTAAACTAAACTTTTTGAATAGTTTTCCCAAAGTATTGATTTATTCCTATCTTGTTGCTTATTCCTCACGTTTTACGCTTCTCAACATTTCTGGTTGCTTAATTTTTTATTTTCAGTTAAGTAACATATTTCTTTGAATTTGTGTTTTGTTTTATCCTAATATCATTACTGTGGTGTATGCTACTTATGTCGACAGACATGAGTCGTATATAACACCAACCAGAACTCTAATGCCTGGCAACAAAAGTTTAAGAAGATCGAATTGAAGAGAATAGAAATAGAAACAGAGAGTAATTTTAATAACGAGAGGAATGAAGAAACGATGAAGTTTGTAAGAGACAACTGATGGATGATGCGCAAATGAAGTATTTAATGTATAGTTTTCATATTTTACGAAATCATTCTGTTATTTGTTCGTTTAATATTTCATTTTTGTCCTGGTATCATCGAAAACTGTATCAAAATATATAATAATACTTTTTTAAACATACCCTCAGTCAATTTTTCCATAGTTTTGTCGTAAATTTAATATTCAGCTTATTTACTCATTCTGTTCCGTTTTACTCAATTCTTTTATTTTATAGTAGTATGATGATAATTTTTATGTTTAAATTTAACACTTTCTTCCACTAAATGCATTCTTGTCCTTTCTTTTTCTACTTAACTGTCATTCCATTTACAGACATTACATCAACCAATGGCATTGAAATATGCTTGTCCATCACAGACTACCTGGTTACTTGCATGTCGTTGCTTTTTTCAAGTGATTACTGCTGGTATTATTGTATTGTCGAACAAACCAATGAATATGTCCAAAACTTATAATTTCAATAAAAAAGACTCTATTCCCTGTAGCGGTGGTGGTAAGTTACGTACAATTTTCTTTCAATTAATCAATAATTTAAAATAATAATGAAAGCTTCTTCGCTTGTATCCTTTTTCTTTTATTCGTGAATTATTATCTATCTTACCAACTTTCAATTATATAATTGATCCAGTCTGAATGTGTACTGTGAACCGATGTTGTTTTGATTCTCAGGACTAAAATAAATCTGGAAATTTCAAAATAATAACTGTAATAGTTGTACAGAAGGAAATATATAGTTTTTTATATTATGATTAAGTAATCGTGGCTGATATAAAAGTATTCGATAGAACAATTTTTCTGTTTTCTAAGATCATTTACCAATAGTGATCGGATTGTAATACAATAAGCCTCATTTTCTATTTTCTATTTGTTTGGAGTTTATTATCCTAAAACTACTGTTGCTGATCACTTTGATGCTTTATTTAGCGATCGAAATCTTTATGAATATCATATAATTCGATGAAATGCTTACCAACTAATAGAAACGATTCTCTTCCATTAATCTGAGGAGATAGAAATAACCTTAACAGTCATATTCTTCGTTGGAGGACGAGCGACTTATATAACTGGTTTTATCTGGTCGTTAATGTAATTTCATCGTATTACTTTTGTGTTAATCGTTTTTTATATGAGCACGTTCTACTAAAATCAAAGCCAATTCTTCTGGTTTTTAGTTTTATTATTTATGTTAAATTACTTAACATCTGACGTAAATAATGCGATCTTGTATGCGGCCAGCACTCAGCCATGTTGTATCTCTGCATATCATTTATCAATCAGCATTCATTCGTTTAATTCTCCTGATGTATTGGCGTATTTATTTCATTAATGTGACAATTCGCAAGCGGCTTTTCATTACAAACCACAAAATCTAATCCATAATAGTCATTTTGGCATGTGGTACTCAATCTCCTGTATTTGTTAAATAGAATATATACCAACACAAATATATCTGTAAAGTATCCTCAATTCAGATTCCCTTGATAGCCAAGTTACTACTGACCATTGTTTCATGTTTGTTTAGCATGCTTTTCAGTTGGTTTCAGTTCTTAGCTAAGAACTTCGTTCTCAATAAATGTTTATTGTGTAGGTACCGTATAAAATATGATGTCCAATTTTCCGCCATAATTTGATCTATTTTCTAATCAATTAGGAAAAGAAATTTCAAAAAATATTCTTCATGCTACTTATCTATCAGTAGACATATTCCATATTGTTTATTTCCACTTTTTCCATTCATATATTAGTGATATCTTCAAATCATGATTTATGTAAACATATTGTGGACTCTATTCAAGATTTTCTTTTTTGTCAAAAGTAAGTTATTTAATTAGAAACGCATGAATTATTAGCATAGGATTATTGAAAATGCTTTGAAATATTTTCTTTAATATATTTTCCTGTTATAACGTATACATACAACGTAAAGAGCTTTGTCCAGATCCAGATCAAATAAAAATCCACTAATTCTCAAATCTTATGCGAGCTATACTTATACTGAATAAAAAGTAGTATCTAATTGAATTTTCTATAAATTAGATAATATAACTTTGATATTACGGTCTAATAAATGAACGTGTATCAACTATTATTGTGGTGTATGCTACTTATACTGACTGATATAAGTAGTATGTAGCACCAATCTCAGTGGAACGCCTGGCAGAAAAACATTGAAATGTAGAAAACAGGAAGGAAACTGGAGTACAATCGAAATAACAACAGAATTAGATGAATAATGAAATATGTAAAGGACAAAGCAAATAATGTATTTCATGTATGCTTTTCATATTTTACTAAGCCACTGTGTGATTTATCATTAAACAATAAAGTGGTTTACCCTTCCTGAGTATTGACATTTATATCTTCCAACATATTGTCTCCCTGTTACCAGATCTATATCGTGCAACATACTTAATTCTTACTCAAAGCTTTTTAAACATCTATGCTATTCATTCGAATACTACATTTTGACTGGCCACCAGGGCCCTATTCAAATTTCAAGGTAAATTAAGTAATCATATATATTGTTGTCAAGCTGAATCACTACTCTTCTGGTCAGTGGCCTATGCTCCACTGATAGTAACAGGCATAAGTAAGTAAGCTCAACTACTCGAAGTTGTCTTTAAGAAACAATTTGTCTTTGCGTTATCAGAGACTATATTCACATTGCAATGTTTAATGCGCTATCTGTTTGAATGAACTGATTTCGTAGATATACTTTGTGCCATGCTTTAACTGTTAACCAAATAAATATAAAAACAAACATATCTTCCAATCAGTTTTCTAAATTAATCGTATTGTAATAATAGAACTGCATTTATAGGAACGATTATACTGTGTTGATACAGTTATATATTACACACTAGATTGAATATGTCCCTAATCTGCAGTGAAGGTGAGATTCTCCATGCAATCAATAACAACATTGAACTCATTCTGATTTTTCCAATATTATCATTACAAATTGTTTATATTGCTTTGCCGTATCGAAATCTTCACTGAACTAGATTGTATTGATTTAAAGGAACTTGCGTTAGTGATCACTGAGATTGTAAGGTGAGCAAATTAATCTTCGTTATTATCTGTAATACTGTTGAATAGAAATACAACTGCTGAACTTAGCTGTAGGACACAACCAATTAAAGTCAGTTTAAAAAAACAATATTTCGTAAATCATGATATATATATATATAGTTTGATAGTCACGATGACTTTTATACACCTCATGTTTATTTGTTAATCTGTTTATACCAATTACTTCACTTTTAGTGAACCACCATCATCCTTATCAACTGAAGAGTTCCAACTACACGAAGAATTAGATTGTAAAGTTAGTTAACTGTATGAATATTTTATGCTTTTGTTTTCATTAAAACAACAGGCTTATTTACTTACTCTAGGAGTTTTTGTTGTGTTCTTATGCCTCGCTAGATATCACGTAATAAGATCTCTAATTAGAACACCCACCTATTTGACATTGGCACTGTGCCAAATCAATGACGCGGTAACCAGTACAAGAAACCTAAAGTCAACTTCGAGATTCTGATTAGTCCTCCAAGATAGATTCCCGCCCAACCTTACTCGTTGATTCCAGAACACAATCTTAGCTTCCACTTTATGAATCTTTTATTTCAGACATGCTCTGTTTGTATACAAGTAAATCAAACCGTATTGTACCATAAAATGAAAAAAAAAACAACTATACAAGATCAAGCCAAAAATGTCTGTGAGCGTGAAAGACTGTAATTGATAGATTGGAAATAACTTAAGAATAGTAAATCGCATCATAGTAGCGGATAGGTCATATAGAAGCTTATGATAAAAGGAATATAAATATATATAATGTTATACAATATATACAACGGTCTATGAATAGTTCACAGAGGTTACTCATAATTTAATATTCGTTAGGATATGACACCTCCCTTTTTTGAAGATCTGCAGCTTAGATCCTGATATATATATACATATATATAATAAGTATTTTTGAATTTCCGACATTATCTTCCCCCACAAAATAATGTTGGATTGTCACATTGACTAGAAAATCCACTACAAGTGACTACATGTTGAGGATAAACAACATTTGGTATGAGGTTATCAGAATTTATTTCTTCTGAAATATTTTACCCAATTTTTTTAAGAATTTCATTGGAGAATAATGGGTCATTAGAAAAATCGGCATCTATCAAAACTGCATCAGATTTCCGATCATGATTTGATTCATTCGCTATATTTTTATAAGAATTTTCATAAAAAATATGTGAATCATCAGGAAATCCTTTTTCTGGTATAACAACGTAAAAAATAAGTTAAGAAATTGATTCAATAGAAGCTTTTATCTCACAATGTTTTTGAGTTACATTTGATACACTTGTATTCTCAAAGAATTTATTGTGCATTTCTTTTGAAGACCAACACTATATGGATGACCAGGTTATTATGTCCCTGTCTGAAAGGAAACGCTTCCGACTATCTATCACTATCTACTTCCCTAATTTACTAAACAAAACTTTCATAAATAGTTAGAAAAGCCAACTTGAACTTGTTCACATGTATTTCATACTCTGATTTTAAACAAAAGCTTGGTAATTCAAATTCATAAAATTATTGGTTTTCAGTAGTCCTGAATAAAATGTTTGTGTTGAGAGTACTCCTTTATGAGCTATTTCTGTTTCATTAATATGTAACTAACATTTCAACCAATCAGAATTTGTTTCTTATTATGTACTATTTATTAATTCGTCTCAAGTTTCACTAAGCGTAACCACATGGTAAACAAGCTTTATTTTTCGAGTGAATTAAGAGCAATTATTTTACAATACACGGTATACAATCATGTATGAGTTTTGCATACTACTATTTTAAATTCTTAAGTAATATCTCTTCGTTTTTTTTATCTTTCTATCCCTTCCTGTTATTTTTTTGCTGTGAAAAATCCATAAACAAACCTAGTTCGTAGATTTAATCAGCGATTTATTCCTGTCGAATCCTGCGCAATTGCCAGAATTTTTCATCAGTCGTCTAATTAATTTACTCAGCCTCGGTTCTGTACAGTCGGCTATTCCAGTCAGTACAACAGTTAATGAAGATGTTAATAATAGTAATAACAACAGTGAAGATTTTAATACGAATGGATTATATCACCATAATTCCGTCGATCACCATTCTAGTGTATCTCACAGTGGAATACATTTTTCTAAAGGTCTAGGTCGAGCTGTTCGTCAAATGAGTTTGGTTACCTCACTACCTCAAGATGAACTTATGAACGAATCTTTGGGGTGGGACATTGATCTTGATCGTTTGAGACGGTTAACGTTTCGTGAAAATTTTGCTCGTTTATGTTTTGGGAAATTATTGTCACATGCCTTTTCAGCTCCTTCAGACGTACGATTATCGTCAACCATATCGACACCAGTTTTGTTAGAAAACGGTCATGTTGGAAATAACAACGGCTATAAAATTAGTCCATCAAGTACAAATTTTTCACTGATGGTTAGTAAAACAGCTGTACGCAGTATCCTGCAAAGATGTCGTTCTGTATTGCTTAAGTTTTATCAGTCGTCGCGATTGATTGGAAAATGTCCACTACCTCGGTGAGCTTCGATTTTAATAAATTATTTATTCATTTCTTTACAAAAGTTAATTGACTTTGTTTTTTTATATAATTCAACTGTATATTAAGGCTTATCTTCTGTTTGGAGAGGTAATCATTATCAAACGTTTCCGACCTGACCTGTGTATACAGAAGGAAAGTGTGATTAGCCTTTCCCTACCATGGTGATTTGTGGTTCATCTAATAAACTTTGTCAATTTCAACATTTCTTTTTTCCTAAAGACAGCAAGAACGAAGATTGGTGCAGAATAATATGAATACATTCTATTTCGTTAGGTTCTTACCAGCTGCTTACAACCTAAAATGCTTTGGCAGATACATGTAAATTTATACACACGAGTGGTGGTAACATGAAAGGAATACATATCGACCTTTGATTGTGTTAAAGAACATGCTGTTTTGGACAGGACAATCAGTTTAGCTACACGATAAGTTCTTGTCAATTCAGTTTCTAGTCTCATTGATTGACCCTGTGACATCATCACCACTGACCTTAACCAGTTTCTTTGGGTTTTTTATCTCCACGTTTTTCATATTTCTCAATAAATTTCAGTGGGTATCCATTATTCTCTAGACATATTTTAACATCCATAACTGCCTTTTCTGATGTATCGGCAGTACATATTCTTTCCCTTCTGTGAAATAGTATTTTGACAAGTGCCTTTTTGTAACTGATTAGTAAAGAGCTATTGAAATTGAGATAAACCCCACTCCATTAGTCTTTCTTATAAACTGAGCGTTGAACTGTTCCTTCATTTCATTGCGACCCTGTCTCTAATCCTTTTATCTTTGTTTTTGTTTCATCTTTTGATATACATATCTTACATAGTCTTATCGATTTTGGTATATTGGTTTATTTTCTCATGTTGACTGATTACCCAATCACTTATAAATTTAATGGAAATTCCCACTTTGACATTTGGTTAAAAAAAGAATGAATTGAGTAGTGACGTTATGTATTAATTATATGATGTTATAATAATTGTAAAATAGCATTGAGCAGTTGGAAAAAACAGAATTTCGATAATTAAAGTAATTATTTAAAAATCAAGCAGATGCTGCGTTGCATAATACATAGAAAAACAAGGAACTAATAAGATATTTTGATGAAAGGTCAGTATTTCGGGCCCATAAATGCCGTGGTACGGTTGATAGTGGGGAGAATCAGCTCTCCCTCTCGAAATGTTCTCACATGGCCACACGTATACAACCACTTCAGGGAATTCCTACTCACAGCTTTCTCGCGGCGCGAGTGCACTGTCACTTCGCTGTTTTATTTTACTTTTCCTGAATCAACGTTACGCGAATCGTTAACTTTTCATATGGTTTCTCTTAATAAGGACATCTTCACCATAACTTCGCTCTTCCAAATTTTTCCCCAAAAAGTATGTTATAAATTCTTTTTATGTCTGAACACTTTTTGTGTTTTATCTAAAGGACAAGACTTGTAACCGGATGTAATTTTTTTCTCCAGTATATATTACGTTGATATTTGTTGTGTCATTTTTATTTACTTATCGAAACAACTTTAAAGTCACGCCAAATTATTAAGAGATAGTCAAACAAAAATATAAATTCGAGTTTTCTTCGCTGTATGTAACGTTCGAAACTCCAGTACACACTTATCAGGGTCAGGTGTTTTAGTATTTATATCTTTTTGTGAAAATAAGTGTGATCTTAAGTTAAACACACGAGTGTATACTTAGTTTTCGAGTATCAATCGAAATTTTTCTATCAGAGCAGAGATATCTCATGCAATTAGTTCACTTTATGAATGTAAATAAAGCAAGAACAAATCTTGATGCAGAATAGTATGAATTCACAATATTTCGAGGTTTCTCGTCAGCTGCTAACAACCGAAAATGTGATAAAATTTTTACATTGAGATAGTGTGAAACAATTGACATAAATGAGTGTAAATAACTGGAATACAGTTGACCGGTTAGCTAATATAAAATATTTTGCTTATATTTGTAAATAGTTTCTCATACACCATAATACTCACTCTATTTATCACATATACTACCATATCTCTTTCTGTAGACTGATATCAGAGAGAAATTATTAAAAGCAAAGGAATACCTAATAACTGGTATGAGGTTCATTTATTTATTTATTTTAACACATAGACATTGGTACAAGGAGGCACCAAATACATATGCGCCACACAAATCTTATTTGATATATGTGAGGGCTGTGATACTGCCCGGGTGCCCAAACCTAAGCAGGTAGTTTCCTTAGGGGGCCACACCCAAACCCTTCTACCTGAAGGTATGATCCACAAGGCAGTGGAGCAACGTAAGGAGATGCAGTCCCATGGTAGCCGGTGATCAACGATTGGTTCATACGCCATTTGTTCCTTTAGGATACTGGAGCCCATGTCCACGATTGGTTTGGAATCAGGGTTTCGCAACTACCCTAGGTGAATTCTTCATGTCCACCAACCTGGTTAAAGCGCCTGACATTCGCTTTTCGTCCTCTTAATTTCGTAAACAACAGTAATGCCACGAGAAGGCAATGAGTAGGACTTCCTTGACAGAGGCTATATACGCGTGGCCATGTGAGAGCATTTCGAGATGGAGAGCGGACTCTCCCCACTCTCGTCCGTACCAGGGCATTTGGGGGCATTGGTATGAGAAATAATTTAGTGCTCATTATCAGTCTCAATTTTTAAGATAAGTATCACTAAGTTCTATTAAGAGCCTTCAAATACCGAATTCGTTAAGTCCGATGTATTAGCTGATAATAATGTATGACAGTGATTCTATATAGTGTTGAAAATAAATTATGTCATCGCTAAATCCAATATCGTGGTAATGGCACATACTTGTGTGACATCTGTCACAAAAATGTGTGAAATGGTCACCTATTGTTGTTGAACTTCGGTAGTTCTTCACACAATGAGATCATGATGAAATATAATCGAATATTTAATTAGTTTGTTCTAGTTTCTCTTAAATAACGAAATTCCATTTTCTCAGAGAAATTAGAATAATGAGAAATTTATTGCTCCTATAGCTGGAAAAAGAATAAATACCAGGAAACATAACGGTAAACATACCTAGAAGAGATTTATAAAATTTTTGTTGCCTCTTCACTTAAATGGTGAATTTAATATACAACTTTCTTCCTAACGCTCTCCAATCATATTATATAAGTACACACCAAAGTTAACTGTTTTCCCTCTCTTCATACGCAGTGCTCGTTTGTCAGAAATTAGCTACGTATTCAAAGCGTTGACAGTTATGTTAACATCACTTCAGTCTGTCCCAATACAACATGACGGTAAGTATAAAATTGATGTTTTTGGGTTATATCTTACTCTTTTTAACCTCATACACTAGAAACTCTGTGAACGAGCTGTGTAGGCAAATCCATTAAGCTTTCCTTTATATGTAAATTTGGTTTGAAAAATTGTATTTATCACTGACAGACTTCAATGCCGATACATATAAAAAAACATTTGACAATGTGACACGTGGATGGGATTGTTCTTCAGGTATGTAGTTTTAAGTTGATATCACTTTAGATGTACCTTTAAGGTTGTTTCATTAACGTCTAGTTGTGTTTACTTTCACAGTAATTACTTCAGTAACCTTCATTTCTTAACTCTGTTAGTTTTATAAGCACCGTTATATAATCAGGACAATTGGAAAATATTTAGTCGTTTTTAAGTTAATACTTTAATAAATCAATGAATTCGCTTATTCTTCGCACTACCGTAACGTGGAAGTGCTCTGTGTCTATATGGATAAATGGATTTTCCACAAAAATCTAAAAGGCGCTTTCTGGTTAATTTATCCGCAGGGTATAATGCCACCATGTTAAGATTGATTTTAGAATTGAGATTTTAGATATTTCATCGATTCGCCTATTAAATACAGTCACCGCCATAAATACACAATCAAATATTCGAATCGAGTACTGCGTTTTATTACTCTTCTTTCCTCAGTTTTCACTCACATAATGACACATCACAAAGATTTTCGAAAATGAGCTTGTGACTGCCACTAAAAGCCTCACATTTGAATTCTCTAGTAAATTCAATAATACGAAGTAAATTGACAGTCTCTGTGTAATTGTATATCATCATCAATACGGTTGATATAATGATCTCTTCCATAGCTGTTTATAAGTAGCAGGAAATATGACTTTTGATATAATTAGGAGTCTATTGATTCTAATCAACAGATTTGCAATAGCCAATTACAAAATATTTTTAATGCTACTTCAGTTATTAAATATTCCGCCGGATTACGTAATATTATCATTTTCATTTCATAACTCAACTCATTATTTATGTCATAAATTATGCTTTAAAGCACATTCATTCTTTGTAATTAACGTCGTTTACAGATGATTAGAGACTTTGATTTCTTCCTTGTTCTTATCTAATGGAAAGTTAATAATAGCATTAATTATGTAACTTAAAATAGCTATTCACAGAAGAGAATGTCAATTTAATCTACTTACAAATGAAATCATTTTTGCCGATATTATGAGTATTAAAAGTAATGAAATCTGTCAGTTATTGTACATACATCTTAATGATTAGTTTAAATGAACAAGTTTACTTTACACCTTATTTATTTAAACTATTTCCACATTTATGAAGTGTTTTTTTCCTTTATTTTCCCATTCTGGTTACTATTATCCTGATATATGATTCAATACCTGTCCAATATACTCAAAATATACAGTGGATGATTCAATCTGGTCTAGTATAATTGAATTATATCCTCATATTGTTGATTGTATTCTGGTGACCGGTGGAAGTAATCAAATAGCATTAGCTTTACATCATCTTTTACGACTTTATGGTGAATTTCTTGCTCCATCACATTTACGTCCAGGAGTCAGCAACAATACTACTAATAAAGATTGCAGTAGTATTGTTAATGACAACAATATTAATAGTATGAATATTGAGAATGATATTACCAATAATAATATCAGTCAGAATAAAACATCATTGAATGGAATATAAGCGAACTATACGTGATTGGTTTTTGTGAAGAATAATTTTTACATTTGTGATATGTTTTATATGAATTTCTAAATTATATACTTTACTCATTTATTATATGATGGCTGTGGGGATCTTCGTGTAATCTCTTTCCCTCTTTCTCTCTCTCTTTCTTCCTCTCTTCCTCCTCCTTAGTATAATCATTGTCTACCTTTTTTTTAAAGGTTGTTCTACTTTCTATTTACAGTTTATCATACGTAGTTTTATCTTTGTCATGTTTTTTTTCTCTTTGTTCCACTTTGTTCAACTAATTTATGTCAAACATACGAAATATCTTTTGTCCGTTTCCACAGTCATACCTTCCATGTTTGTTTGTTTTTGAGCAAATCAATTAAATTCTTAGTCGATTTGTTTTTCAACTTATATCGTCTAACTTTATTGTTTTGTTGTTTGTTTTTTTTCATTTTAATAATAAGAGACAAATGAAAAATGCTGATTACTTTGTTAAATTACTTTTTATTCTCTATGTAAAACGAATGAATGAAATAAAACTATAATAAGCTATCATAAATTTGATTTTTATTAAAGATTTAATAATGTGAAAGGATTTTCATGATCAATGTAGAATTTTTATACTCACTCTATTTCGGTTTTTATTTATTTCATTTGAAATTACAACATTTTTATTGTTTTGTCAATTGACTGAGTACTAGTTTGATAGTTTGAAATTATTATCTCGTGAATATCAGAAGGGGTTTTGTGGATATTATTAATAATTTCAATGGTTGGGATTATGAGTCAGCTGAAGCTAGACAACATATGCTCACTTGTGACTGACTTCGAGAGGTATATCCTGAAGTTCTAATAAGAAGCAGTGACCAGTGGATTTCAACCAGGTCTGTTGTGAGACAATCACTCATTGAAGACAATGGTGGATTAGTTGAAGTTAGGCATTAACACCATTGGATGCCGGCTCAGTAGTCTAGTGGCTAAGCACTCGCGTGCGAGGTCCTGGGTTCGAATCTCGCGGGGGGTGGGGTCGTGGATGCACACTACTGAGGAGTCCCACAATAGGACGAGACGGCCGTGCAGTGCTCTCAGGTTTTCCATGGTGGTCTAGCTTCAACTGACTCATGATCTCAACCATTGAAATTATTATCTCGTTGTTGAAAGATATTTTGACGAAAATTTAATTAGTCTTAGTTGGAATATGTGAAACCTGTGCAACTTGCCACAATGTAGCCATTATGAAATGAGTTTATTGTGATTAACGATGGAATCCATGCCGCACACCCTTGGTTGATTGTCAATGTCGCTTATGATACTTATGTCTCCTGAGCTTTATTCAGAGGGTTTATTGTGTTTTATATCTCGGATTAACATCTTGAAAGAATTATAAATATTCTGCAAAATTAATTTACATTTTATTAAATTTAAATACATTTTGTGGATTTCACTGCAGTTTTTCATCTAAGTACAACTAACCAATCGTTTCATTAGTCTAAAATCAAACAACAATTAGTCCCTAAACTAGTGACCCGACATCGAACGTTGTTAATGTCTAACTAATTAATCCACGACTTTGCGTCACCATCTTTCACGTTTTCAGTGAGTAACTACTTCACGCCTGACACGAATTAGCTCTACTGATCACGGCTTCTCACTAGAACTCCGGTAAATTTGTCTCGAAAACAGTCACCTTTACAACTTCTTACTGACTAATTAATACCTTTTGTTCTATATTTGATTCCGACTACTTAAATACTTTTACAATTGACACATGAATGAGATATAACAATAGTTGTCTCATTCTCGATGAGAATAGTCAATATTACAAAACAAACTAATTCTCAACCATTACTTGGTTATACACATGGTTGATTTCCTGCTCTTTCGGTGTAACAAATAAGTTTGAAACAAAATTTCGTGACTTCTGACACAATACAGCATAAAATTCATTGATTTCGAGTACCTATGATTATCGTAACTGCTAAACACAAAAAGAAGTAAACCCACTCAAATTACTTTTTCGTTAAATTTGAATGAAATTTCTCCATCCTAATATAATAAAAATAAATTATATTTGTTCATTGGATATCTCAAAGTGAAAGACTTATGTGAAGTTACTGTTCACTTAAAGTGCTTTTTACTTGTGTACATGTATATACTGATTTATTTGTATGTAGATTTAGTCTTACACATTACTTTATTCTCAAACCATTTACAATATACAGAAACAAGTTCTCAGTCAACATTAGTTATGCTCTTACACTTTTAGACAATATCATAAATAGTTCTATTTTATATCCGGAAATACAAGATTAAATTCGTGAGTATAATCTAATAAAGATTATTGAATCAGTGATCATAATTCTGAAATGCCTTCGCTAAATGACGAGTCAGACCTATCTTCGATTCTTTGAACATTGTGAGATAGCTCTGTCTCTTCGTTCAAGCCTCATGTAATCCAAATGAAGAGACATATCAGCGACTAAGTAAATGTAAACTTGGCTATTATCTAGTTACTGAACGGAGTTTCTTCAAAAGTAGCCTTGAAAGTAAAAAAAATTATTAGGTTGAGACTAGCAAATCGATCAGTAAAAAGTGTCTTTTCCAATGAAATGAATTGAAAACATGTCACTCGAGGAACTTTTTTGTAGTGTGAATAGGAATATGAATTCATAGAAATCAATAACAATATTTGGTTACATAAATATTTCATGTTACTGAAATCGCTTTTTAAATATTATTCACGACATTTGGTCAAGCGATTAAAAGTAATCACATCTTACTTAACAAGTAATTTTTGACTGGACATTATTATTATCATCAGCTTCATTCAGTGTTATATCTTTGGTATAATATAGAATTCTCAGCACAAAGTATTTCCACAAGTTTCCGTTCCTTACTTCTTGGTCGATCCTGACGATAAATATTGAGTGATCGCCAGTTAGAACTTAACAGTTCAGTCAATTTACATCTAAATAATGTACTTTTTTTGCTACATATTGCCAGCAACCACGATATCTCTGATTGGGTCATTTGTAATTTATATAACGAAAGGTTGTACACTTTTCAAAAACGCACCTGAATAGGTTATGCCATAATGATGTAATAAAACAAGAAAATAAGATAACTTATTGAAATATCTAGATGGCAGGAACAGGTAGTCCAGATATTCAAGCAGGTGGCCTTCCTGTTGGATAATATATTTTTAAATCTTTAGATAATTTTTCTTTACAAAACTCTGCACGGATTATAAATAAACTTTATAAATCGAAATAATCAGTGTATCATGAAAGAAATATATTGTAATCTGCAAAACCAAAGAAAATTAAGCAGTGAATTATATAACTTGAAACATATTTGTTGAAATTATAATTCACTTAATGGCATACAGCTTCACACTCTTCTATGCTAGCGAACTGGTTGGAATTCCCGTGACAACCACCATAAATGAATTTGATACATCTCCATTGGTCTACACTAAAAGCAAACATCTCGATGGAAGCTCTGCATGGACCTGATTCAATTGGTTCCAAACATATTTTATTGATCGTCTCATTTGTCGTGGAAGATATCACTTTAATGCAATAATAAAGCATAACAAAATAAATTATATAGTTATGAATAAAAAACATTCAATCATTAAAACCATTCCTTAGGACCATAATCATAACATTCGGGACGATTTAAAAGCTCTTTTGTCACTAGTAAAGTGATAATAAGTTATATATATCATACTACTGTCAAGGAATTTTCATCAGATTGCTTAATTACACTAGTTAATGATGAATGTAACTTTTAAGCACCAACGAAACAACTATCCAAACCATACTATATTTCAATCGCCTTGTAAATTATGTAATTTTGTAATCGAAAGTAGCCTTAAATTTAAATATACAGATAAATACCAGTAAACTAGTTTCTTCTTCGCTATCAGATTTAAACGTGTGTGGGTGTTCCATATCAAAATCTGTTGTCTTAAGGTAACTATTTTCAACTATTAGCTTTGTACATTCATTATGTCATTGTTTAATGTTCACTTGAATCAAAATCCAAACTTCTAATCACTATTAACAATTGGTTTAATTTTACACTTAAAAGTCTCTATGATGTAAGACTTAGTATTGTATAAAAATCTAATACTGTACACTATAGCATATATTGCATTTAACTATCTTTTATAGTAAATTTAATCTGTAAAACATAACATGTAAAACACTATCAATTCGATCACTTTTACATCTCAAGTTATTAGGTATTTATTCCAAAATGTGATGCTTACAAATTAGAATAAAAAAACTTCTCCCATGATTCTTGTATATTGATTTCAATGTACTTAGAGTGAAATTAAGCGTAAACCGAATTTAAATTTTATACAATGTTCAAGAACAGTTTGTTTAAACAATGAGAACAACTCATCCAAAAATTCATAATCATTCAAATAGGTACATATTTCAGCATTTTGTAAAACAAAAAATATTTGACTACTAAACATATCAGTATGGGGTTGTGAAGATTGTTAAGTTTTTGGTTGAGATCATGAATTGATTGAAATCGAAAGTCCTGTGTTCAAATCCAACCTGCGAGATCGTGAATGCTCATTTATAAGGAGTCCCATACTAGGACGAAACGGCTGACCAGTGCTTTCAGTTATTCAATAGTTGTCTAACATCAATCGAATACTAAGTATATTGCTACTATTCTTACTTATTCATTTTAGTCAATTGTCTACAATACATAACTATTGATGAGTATCTGATATAAAATATTTAAAGCGGATATAAATTCAACCCTTATTATCAAAAGGTCAAAAAAATTACATGAATTAGTCTCATGCTGTCGTGGTGATGGAAATAGTAAAGCCTCAAGTGGACTTTTAATTTTTTTAAATCCATCATTAAAAGTCATTGTGTCTGAATTGATCTGCTGCATCAAGCATTTTACCAGCGATTTTAGAATCATTCAGAAACCTCTCGTACATGTCAACTTCGTAAAAAAAGTAATGGTCTCATTATCAACAATGAATACATTGTTGTACATGTTTTCTACATTCTGTAACCGAAAGATAAGTTGTCTTGTCAATAACAACAAAAACACTGAAAATATGTGTAACATTTAAAGAACAATGTGAACTTAAGTAATATCACAAAACTACTATGAGTATAACAAATAAATAAATTCACACATTTTTGTAACGTTAGGAATTGAAATTTCAATCGACCTTCACATTCTCTCTTAGAAATTCCCATTATATTAAAACACAATTATATGAACAAAGAATATTCTTTTCAATAATTTCTCATCGGGTTCTACAATTATCATATCCAAATTAATAATTCATAAACTTGGTCAAGTTTAAAGCAGAGTACATTATTATCATTATTATTATTACACTGGCTAACATTTTTGAGAGATTTATTCAGTATCCACCCCCACCTGCTAATTCTTGGCTAATTCATATTATCCTACATATTACGCAATTCCTGATTTGTAACTACATTACTCTCTCTCTCTCCTACCCCATGTTGACCATATTTATTCTGATCATTATTCATCGTACAATTTCATTTCACTTATAAACTAATTCAAGTTAACACTTCATATTAGTCAGCTCCAACATTAACGATTTAACTTGATTTCTAATGACAAACAACCCTTAATTCATATGTTACAATCTTAAATGATGTACTCTACCTTAAAATTGGCCAATTTTATGGATTATTAATTTGGATATGATAATTGTAGAACCTGATGTAAAATTATTGAAAAGAATATTCTTTGCTTTCTATCAAGTTTCAGTTTAGCTACCATTGTTTTAACTGAAGAAAAAAACAACTTCTGAATAACCAAGGTGATTTTTTCTTTAGAATTCTTATTTAATTCAAAGTAAAAATCTACATCCAAATAAAAACACATTAGGAATCAATGGGAACCAAAAACAAAAAGCGATGAACAACATTTAGATTCTTAATCAAAACTTTCTTATCAGTCAACTACAACCAGGTTCAAATGTGACTACTTATGAAATATTCATATTTCCGAACACTTTAATGCGACATTATGATTTATGAGTAAAAACGTATTTCGAAATGGTTAAACTCAAATTTATGATCAATATAGAAAAGTATGTGTAGGTTGAAGACTTAAAACTCTATACACTCCACTCCCAACTGATAAACCCGAACCTCATTCTATTGAAATCCATTCCCATAGGCCTATCATGATAACTGAATTTAAACATTTTTATTAAGTTGTACTGGGAAAATTTCTTGATATATTTTATGACTTCATTAAAACTTAGAACTATTGATCACTCATCTAATGTTAATGACCTTAAAATTATAGATTAAGTTTCAGTAGGTTATAATGTCTACAATCCTGCTGTAGTTGAGTATTTCGAAATGTATTTGTTTAGAGTGATCAAGCAACCCATGAGTCTAAGATATTCTTCAACATAACTCAGATTAGAAGTTGACACCAAACCAAGTATAATTAATTTCTATATCCTTTTAAAGCACTAGAAATTTAAATTCACTTGGTATTGTTTGGCTTGTATCTTCCCATTGAGTTTTTAAGACTGCGATTGATAATTCTGTTATTGGCATATGTGCATACTGTGCGTATGCCACTTTCTTGTGAATGGCACTGGGTTCGAGTCCCAGAGTGAACATCAACCCTGAGATGCAGGTACATCCAGCTGACGCGTCCCAAACGGGACGAAACGCGCACCCTGGATTCCACTGCTAGCTACTATCCATCTTTGCTTACACTAGAAATTTATTTCTAAGTAAAACAAAATTTATCATCATTGTAATCATATTTGATCTTCTTTCGTTAGTATTCTTATTTTATTAATTATTGCATCTTACAATTTGTAATGTTTTACTAAACCATTATCTCTTTTGTCCAGGTCATTTACTGACGCCATACTAAAGAAAATAACATTTTTTCTCTTAAAAATGAATAAAAGTAATTTCAAAAGATGAATTTATTGATAAAATTAAGCATTCATTTTATATTAACCAGTATTATGTCACAATCCCCGTTAACAACAGAAAATAAGAGAAATGTAAATTTAGTCCATTTTACTCTTATAAGGTGTTCTAATTATTTCTTTTGTTCATTTAGCTAGAAAGGATAATACATTTAAAGTTAACCGGAGAAAAATAAACATGAAACTACTATGTTGACTATCTACTTGGTTGTATCTGGAATGGTTACCATGTTTGTCCTGGAATCGTTAGTTATTAGTATCCATTAAGCCTAACATGTCCAGTACTTTTGTCGAAATTTTAAAATACTATTTATTTTAAAAGTTATTTATGGCTAAAATTCAAACATTGAAATTCTAGCATGTCAGATCAATTTGTCGTATAACTACAGAAAGAACATCAATCTAATGAATTACTCAGTAACTGAAAAAGTCTTTATATCTCAAAGAAATTTTTTTAACTTGCCTTGACTACCACCTGGTACTTTAACAATATCTACACCAGATAATTTGGACTTACAATTTACAATTCCAAACCAAACAGATAATAATGCAATAACAATTACGATAATTAGAATTAACAAAGTAACAATCCATAATTGATTAGATATAAAAAAGCTTCTAATTCTTTCCTCATTCTTTAATGAGTGATTTGTTTTATGCTTTATTTGGTTTTTATTATTTCCATTATTATGTAAGGTTTTAGTTAATATATCTTTTTGTATACAATCTGATGAGTTCAATACTTCAGTAATTTCATCAGAACAATTTAATTGAGCTTCTATATTGTTATCATTTTCAACGATTTCATAGATTAATTTCGATGGCATTTTTATATAATTACATAGATTTCTTCTACTTCCTCGTCGTCGTCGTCTTCTTCTTTTTAAATATATATCAATATTGAATTTACTTTGTTTTAATTTAAAGTAATTGTCAATCAACTAATCCGATCAATTTACATCTTGATCATCACCATTGAATTCATTCACATTTTAAGGATTTTATCTATATTTAAGCATTATTAACATGATCACAAATATATATATATATATATATATATATATATATATATATATATATATATATGTTATATCATGTTAAAGAATTAGTATCTTACATTAAATTCAATTTGAAAAATCACGTAGATTTTTTCATAGGTCCATTACAATTTATGTCAATCATATTTGATCTCAGTAGAGATTACTGATATATAATAGTCAATAAATAACCTTTTGTATTATAGGCACTAGTACGTGCATATACGCTATCATCATGTGACAGGTGATTCTCATGAGCTTCATATATAAAAAGTGACAAAAATAAAATCGTATATTTGATATTTAATAGAATTATATGATTTCAAATAAAGTGACATCATTTATTCAATCGATGTGTTGAAATAATCTTAATGCCATGATTATCTAGTTAACCTCTGATAAGTTGAATGATCTGGAAGATCAGCTTTAACCAATTTGATCTTATCATTGGTTTTTTTTTATTTGAACAGGTTCAATGAATATCTGTTTGACAGTTTGGTGATTGTTTAAAATGATAGAAGCTATGTAAGATTTAATTCATTTATTTAATATGTAAATCTATTCACAATCTCTTCTAGTCTGTATTCCCATCTGTATTCTTATTACCGAGGTACGTTTCATCCGACGTCACAGCAGAACTATACACTGGTCAATGGAATATCTTTAAGATGTATTGATACAACAGATTTGGATTGTACTGCTGCTAAGCACTTAAATGTGGTATTCAGAAAACATCCATAAAACCACAGACATAAACAAACATGATAATAAATCGTAAACAGAGGTAGAATATTGTGAGACAACAGTCAAGTTGATAGATAAAACGTAGGAAGGAATCACCAACCATTTTTACACAGTGTCTAAATGTTCGGCAGTTACTGAAAAAAAGTCAAAAAACATATTTACTTGCTTACTTACGCCTGTTATCCCTCGTGGAACAGTATAGGTCGCTCACCAACATTCTCCTGTCCTGGGCAATCCTTTCCAGTTGCTTGTCCATTATTTTGATGTCTGCCTACAATTCGCAATGTAATGTGTTCCTTAGTCTTTCGCTTCTCCGTTCCCCTTCAGGATTCTAAATTAGCACTTGCCTCGTAATGTAGCTTGATGATTTCCGAAATGGGTATCCTATCCACCTCCAGCTTCTTTACCTCATTTCCTCTTCATCTGGAAGTTGATTTGTTCTTTCCGATAGTACGCTGTTACTGATGGTATTCTGTCAACGAACACTGAGTGCCGTGTGTAGGCAATTGTTTATAAACACTTGTAGACTTTAAAAATGGTTGTAGTAGTTTTCCAAGTGTCAGCTTCATACAGTAGGACTGTCTTGACGTTCATATTGAAGATTCTGACCTTGATGTTGGTTGACACTTGTTTTGAGGTCCATATGTTCTTCAACTGTAGGAATGCTGTCCTTGCTTTGCCAATCCTCGTCTTTATGTCTGTGTCAGATCCTCCCTATTCATCGATGATGCTACCCAAGTACGTGAAAGTCCACAACTCTTCAGAGCTTCTCCACCAAGGGTGATTGGGTTAGTGTTCCTCGTGTCGTGCTTGAGGATCTTGCTTTTTCCCTTGCATATGTTTAGACCTACTGACGCAGAGGCTGCTGCTACACTGGTTGTCTTTACCTGCATTTGTTGATGTGTATGGGATAGAAGGGCCAGGTCATCTGTGAAGTTCAAGTCGTCTAGTTGCATCCAACATGTCCACTTTATTCCGTTGTGGAGATATGACTGACAAGCTTATTTTGTAAATAGTTTTCAATGTTATTTGTATTTGTTTTGTCAATTTTTCACTGTATGTACATTTATCATTAAATGACTGTACGTGTTGTTTTAGTCAATGACCTTGAACACTTTTTCCGTTGTGCTACTACATAGCGTGACATATTCTTTCTGGCTAACAATTACATTACTACTCACACATCCCTCGTTCTATTTTCATTTGTGATTGAGTTAGCTGAATTCTAAATCAAATATTATCATTATTTATAGACTGTAATTGGAATATATCACATTCTACGTGGGATTATATCACTAGAGAGTTCGCCAACTTGCTCAGAATTATGAAACATAAATAACTGTGGATTTACTTTACCGGACCTAATCCGAACACGCAACGTTTGGTCAATTTAAGTAACGTCCCTAATTTGTTATTGTATTTGTAACATTTAACTTGTAAATATTAATATTACAATTGATTGTTATTAACTTTGTTGATACCTTTTGCGTTTATATATTATCTGGTGCACCACACCGTGCTTTCCTTGAGACGTGGAGGTCTTCATGATCCATTCAATCACTAGCAGGAAGAGAAAGGGGGAGAGTAAGCATTCTTGTCTAACTCCGGTCCTTACTTGAAATGAGTGTTGCCTGTCTCTCCATGCACCACTACGGTGTAGTCTGTCGTATGAATTCCGTATGATGTTGACGATTTTATGAGGTACACGATGGTGTGGAAGAATGTTTCATAAAGTCCTCCAAGGAAGTTGATGTGTAGTGACGAGTTCCATTCAATTGATTATTCAACGATGATTCGTAGTGTGACGATTTAGTCTGTGCAAAAGCGATCCTCACGGTGTCTGGCCTGTTGATCCCGAAGCTGGGTGTTTACTGAATCTTTCGTCCGGTCCATCAACACTCTGTTGAAAATCTATCCCAGTATCGATAATAGTGTTTTACCTCTGTAGTTCTTACATGTTTCCAGATATTTCTTTGGTATCTTGGTGAGGTGTCATTCTTGCCAGTTTGTTGGCACCTGTTTTTCATCCTACATCTTACAGAATAGAATGTGGAACGTGCTTACAGCTGCTTCTACGCCTGACTTTGCTGCTTCATGTGGTATGTTGTCAAGTGCTGCTGCTTTCCCACTCTTGGTTTATCTGATTATCATCCGGATTTCGTCGATCAATTATGGAGTGATCGCTATAAGAAAACCTGTGTGTGCTGCTTCGATGACTGGTGTATTCAATGAATTTGGAGTACTCGATAGTTCTTCAAAGTGTTCTACCCATCTATTTCTCTGTTAATTGAATATTATGGACATTTTGTTGAGTCAAATATGATCAATCTGGGTCTCTTTGAGATCCTTCTAGCTTTATGTGTGCGTTTGTGTGAGAACGTGGTGTTATCTATAATCATTTTGTTGAATACACATACATCTAAAAATCTCTCAACATTCTCATTCTTTCTTGCAAGTTCATGTCGTCCTATGATATCTTCATGCCCAGTGTTGTCCATCCCTACCTTGGCGTTTAGGTCTCCCATCAGGATTGTCGGATCGTCTCCTGAACACCTCGTTATGATCGGTTGTAGCCTCTTATAAAACTGATCTTTATCGTCGTCGTTGTTATTATTGGTGACCGTGCAACAATGGATAACATTCATTTTAATTCCCTCCCTCTTTGTTTTGAAGTATGCTTCTTGTGGGAAACTTGTTCAATGTGAAGCACAAGTACTAAATGAGCTCTATTTGGATTACAATTCGGATGATCTCATATCAACTACTGTTTATCCTTTTCACAAAAACACTTCTAGTGTTTACTCTAACCAATGTGAGAAATATGATTTAAATGAAGCCACATCATTCATAAATTGGGGGTATGAAGATCCAACATTATTTCGTGGGGGAGGATATTCTAAAAGTCTATGGTTCAAATTCTAGGTAGCAGTGGTTTTATTACACAACCGACATGGTGATTACACAATCCCAGGAAGCAGGTGAGTCTGTTTCGATTTCGGTTGTTAATTCTAATACTAATGGGTGCATTCTAGATAATAGAGTTTTTATCCAATACAATGTCGGACAGACACAGGATGAACTTAAGAAGAAGACAAACAATCGATTGCAGACACTTATACTCCAATTTGAGCTGTGGCGGATGTATTGTTTGAATGAACTAATGATACCTTTGTACCTGTTGAATGCTTGATTTCGAATTCCAAGTACAGTACATTCGTTCGTGCTTATCTAGTACTTCCTGATCCGATTACGTTATTTCTGGGATTCTTAGTTCATACTATAATTCAAATACTTCTGATTATCATACCTTTTCTGTCCGACTTGGATTCAATTGGTTTCACTGATTCCGAGTACTGCCATGTTGTATCTCTTCATTTCCGTAGCTATTTGACTTGTCCTTCTGGTCTTCCACATTGTCCGAGCATTCCATGTACTTTCATAATTTTTAGTACTGTTTGTTAGTGGTATCACCTCATCATGGGGCGTCATAATTCTTCTGAATGAATAACCTTTAACTGGTAAGACAGAGTTTAAATGGTTTTCGATCTATTTATACTTACTTACTTATTTACGCCTGTTACTCCTCGTAAACGAGCATAGACCGAATAATTTACTTACTAGGAATTCCCGAAACAGAGCAAATTACTCCAAGCAGAACCAAACGAACGCACCGTATTTAGAATTCGTAATGAACGGGTTATTAAGTGCAAATAAATTATTAGTTCGTACAAACAACACACCAACCCTCCTCTGCCCGTTCTCGGGTTCGAAAGTACCCGTAGAAGTGCTACGAGCGGTGTTAAGGCATAAAGTAGAGTAAGATAAAAGTAATCACTTAGCTCCTGTAGCTTTGTCATGCCGTCAATGAGCGTTTATGGTGAAGTTTCATTCTCTGAGCTCGACTATTTGGCCGTGGAACTTCGACTGTTCTTCTGAGTAGCATCACCAGCTCAAAATTCAGGTCGAGGTGAACTATTTTCAATTTTTCCATATATGATTCACAGCTTGTCTTGTCAATCTTGGTCTTTGCTGTTTATTGTTAACCTTCAGCTTATCACTATCAGCCTCTTTATTTTGATTGCGTCTCTCTTTAATCTGGCTTCTGGTATTTGATATGTTTATGTGTTTTCTGACTGATTGATGAATTGGATTGAGTTCCATGTGATTGTCCATTGATCTCAGTGTATAACTTCTGAAAATTCCCCCATGTTCTTTAGATTCTTTTTGTTCGAAATTACGACGTATCCACAGTTCT